AAAATCTGGACTTTGATAAAATATTGAAAATCAAACGAGACTACCAACAATAAATGCCACTAAATGTCTTCTACAAATGCACATTTTTATTAACTAAATGGGCCACAGATATTTAACCCCATATCAAACCACTACTCCACTGGCATACCAATAATTTCGTAATGTTTTTGTCGCTTATTTCCTTCATATTTCTTGCTAAACGAACAATGAAATAAAGATTAAAAAGGAAAAAACAACACCTTTACCTGATGTTTGTTTACCTGACCCTAATTGAACTGATCCTCAACTTCAAACCACTTAACCCAGCTGTTCTTTGCACAGCGAGGATTACCAGGAGGGGGTCTTTGAAAAACGAGTAAACAAGCATATACAAAACACGGGTCAGCTTTTGTCCAAATCAATGAATCTGGATCAAAAACTGGAAATCTCCATCGATGTCAGCGATCATTGACAGGGATTATGTGTCATTTCTTTATTTTTATTCTGAAACATTAAATTAAAACAACACTGAATACTTGCCCTTTCCTCCTGAGGTCCTGATGAAAGAGTTTCAGACACACACACACCGTAGACCCTCCTAAACCACATCATGGCTGACATGATGAAGCTCAGTACTGAGACAGACTGTTCATTCAGAAGTCAGTAATGTGGGGCAAAGGCCTCCAAAACAGCCCCAACCTTTTCCCAGCAGCCGTGGTAAACATAACTGCCCGGAACCCAAACTGAGTTTCTCAAAGAGGGGCACTATTGAAGGTTTAATTATAGCAATATTACCGACAAACGTTTGAGGGACGTCTGTGCTCCAGAAAACTGAGAAATGGGGGAAAAGGTTGTTCAGGAATTCGGCCACATTTTATCACCCCGGAGCTAAAGTGCAAGTGTTGACCGATAAACCACAGAAGGAGTAGAGAGGACTTTCAGTTATTTTCTGTGTTTTGAACATATTTTGCAATTCTGTATTTTTTTGTAACTGAATGCCCTACGAACATTTTAGAAAAAAAAGTGTTAGCTAATTTTACGCTAAAACCTTGTATGTTTACAATGACAATGCTAACATGCTGACTTTAGCAGGTATGTTGTTTGTCTTGCTAAGATGAGCTAGTTTAGCATGCTAACCAAGTCAAATGTCAAAGGTATAATGTTTACTAAGCTAAACCTTTTTATTTTAGTGACCATGTTAAACTAAGCGGGTATGATAGTCAATGAGGTCAATCGTTTTATTTTAATGTGTTAACATACTAGCTTGTTTTTAGCTAACTAAACGTTATATATCTCAGATTTCAATACGGTTCCACAGTCCAAACAGACCATACAGACATTTACAAACAAACAACAGAGTTTATCAGAGGCAACAAACCAATCAGTACTTGACAAAGATTAGTGCAGGCACGCTGACACCCTCTTGTGGTCTCTTTGGGTAATGACACACAAGGACCAGGCAAGATGAAAAGCACAGTAATTAATAAATAAGTCAATAAATACATAACTACGATATTCTAGGTTGCACTACACATCACATTGTAAGACTACATCCAAGGAATGTACTACAGGACGCTATGTTGATTTTGTCAGCAGACATGTGTAGGCTACATGCTAAACCTTGCTAGTTTAGCATTGTAAAAGAACATGTGAATGTCATCTCTTTCGAAAGCTAAACTTTTGGGTAAAGACTTCTGACTATTGACATTATTAGGTAGAATTTTAGCCATGTTGAACCTTTTTGGTTAAGAATATGAAGCATGCTAACATTTGCTAATAAGGTTATCAGCACTAATGACAAATTAGCTGATGGGAATGTCATTAAAAATCTTAAAGTTATTATGACAGCATCAGCAAAGTGATTACAAGAGAAAGTCAAGTCAGTGGATCACCAAAGTTAGCAGGTTTAAATGTTTAAATGATTCCATCCAACTAAGCATCTGGCTGTCTGACGCTGCAATCCCTCGAGCCATGACCATCTCATAGCTAAAATTTCAGCTTGTTTGTCTATGACGTAGACAAGCGTCTATAATCTGGTGTGCAGACGTTGAACAGACATGTAGATGTCTCTTGGCATCGGCCGGTTGTCTTTTTCACTCAGAGAAGATGACATAGTTCTCTCTCTGTGACAAAGGTCAGACACATTTCACAACTTGCTTTGACTTAAGTCCCTCCTCTACCAAAGTGAGGAAAAGAGGTCAAAAGGCAGACAGTTTCACACAAACACACACATGTAAACTGCTCTATTGTCATCACTATGGTCAGATGTTGAACATGAGCCAGCGCAGCTCAAGACTGCATGATTGGGGGGGGGGGGGGGGGACCTCCTTAACCTCTTCTTCTAATTATCCTTAACTGTCGATTTTCAATAAGTCAAACATTGTCTTCCAGCCGATAATTGGGATTGATTCTTTGTGATTTAACACGCTGGGATTGGACACCATTCAGGCTCTACTGGTGAGGATCAATGTTTATGGTGACAAGCCATGAAAACACAAACCAACCCTTAAGCTGTTCAATGTTCAGAAACGTGAAGAATTTGATTTGATTTATCTCCATTCTGCATGCAAGACCAATGCATGTTTGGAGGTCTTTTTGAGACACATAGGAATTAAGCTCAAATTCTAAAGTATATCGGACAAAGCTTGTATTTGTTGATGCATCTTCTGTAGAACGTCATGATGTTGCATGCAAAGTTTGTACTTCAGGGAATACTTGGAAACCCATTGCCCTTTTACCCAAACAAGCTGTAATCTCCAAAAGTGATTGCAGCTGCCTCATGAATATGCATTTTGAAAATACTGTGGGAGTTGACCTCACTCCAATTGTGTTTAAATGGCAGGATCTGACATCATCTCTTTGGTTGTCTGACGGGGCAGAGCGCTGGGTGAAAGTCAGTATTTGGCTTGTGCTTCGATAAAGTGAGTATTTGCATATTATTTTCTTTTTCAACACAAAAATCAACATCACTCTTCACATTTATCTGACAAGACTGCACCTTTTACTTCAACAGAAAAACATGGAGACCATCAGAGAGATCATCCCATTTGCCAAAGAGATGCTGAACAAGAGGCCCAGTAGAAGAACGCTTCAGATCTTCATGCTCGGCTCTGCTCTGGCGATGTTCGGAGCAGTTGGTAGACTGGTGCAAATCATTCTTCTACCATTTGTGGAGCTGGAGGGTACGGTTGAGGACACCCCTGCAGCTGGGCTGATCTTGGAGACGAAGAAGAAGAAGCAGATGTTGAAGTCACAATCTACCTTGGTTGAGCCTGAAGATGTGGACGAGCTTGAGACAGAATGGGTCCAGGACAAAGCCAAGTATTTGATGACACCTGTGCGCAGAAGCTCAGCAAACCGAGTACATGCTTCTTAAAGAAACCCTCTTCTCTGGATATAAACGTACATGACGCTTACATTGATCATAATAATGGTGATAAATTAAACCACCATATTGAAGTGGTTTCTTTGTTTTCATTCTTTTTATATCAGATTTGTTCAGACATGTAAATTGCCTAATTGACTTGTAAAATATTAGACAGGTAAACCGAAAACAGCACCGGATAGTGATTTCTTGCTGCTGGACAGCAAACATTTGTGGATGTTACTTGTTAACTATGTTATGAATGGCTTGCTTTTCAATAGATCAGTAAAATCTTAGAATTAGGTGATAAAATACCCATGTAACCTGCATTAACCTGAGAAGTTGTGAGTGTGGATTATCATGTCAACAGTGGGTTTCCAGAGGGTTTCCAGAGGGTTGCCATCAGGCGGGGTGTAAAGAGAGATACTGTAGGTGTTTCAATGACAGACTCACAAAACCCTCGAGGGGGCTCATCGTCAACATCTTGCATCCAAGGTGCGCCCCCCTGTGCTTTACCTCTCTCAACTCGCCCTGATGCTGTGGCAGTTGTTTTGAGGCCCAGGTAGTGTCTCTCCTCTTGATCCAGAGCCAACGACTAGCCTGTTTCGGCGTCACCACAGATGGCTTGCCCTAGGGCTTGACCACAAACTCCCTTGTCTTAAGAAGGCTGCTGGTTGACCGGCCCACAAAACCTCTGCAGCCGACCTAAACCATGCAGACCCCTGGCTTCCAAGACAGGTTGAATGAAGTTTTTCTTTCATCCAGCAACTGATTTAGGTTAAGATTTATTGTTCATATCTACAGTCCTATGTAGATGTTCCAGGAAGACTACAATTCATTTATCAGACGCTTAAAGTGACATCAGAGTCTAAGTGCAACACAAGCAAATATCTAGAGAGGAAGAAACAACATCATTAAGTGTAAGCAGCCAGCTTTAAGTCCGATCGGACACAGGTGCTGACAGGCAGTGCACCGAGGCAGAGAGCTTGTTTTTGTTTTTCTACTTAAAGTTAAAATAAACAACATCAGCAGCTGTTTTTGAGAGTTTTAAGCAGCATCAAAAGACATTACCAAAGTAGCTCTACATAAAAAATTAAAGGTCATGCATTGGTAAATAAAAAAGGTTATTCTTTGGTTGTTGTTGTTTTTTAACTAATTCTACATTGCACATTTGATCTGTTATATTAGCCCTAAACGAGCACATTAAAAAAAAAAATGAAAAGGGATTTGCAAGATCGAAACATATAATAATAATAATAATAATAATAACTTTATTTATATAGCACCTTTTAAAAACACAGGTTTACAAAGTGCTTTGACAAACAGCAAGAACAAAGCAAACTAAACCAAACACAGAAAAACATTAACAACAGTAAGAATATAATAGATGCAAAATACCAAAAATAATTAAAAACAATTCAACAGAAAAGAACCCAAAGTGCACGATACACAACCAGACATATATAACCCAACCATCATAAGAACCATCATATCCATATTTTGCTTTTCTCTGGTTTTTTTTATCACCACTAGAATCTAAAAATCAAACAACAGGGTTGATAAGTAAAAAAAAAAAAAAATACCACAGTTGTAATTCCGCACACAGACACTAGATGGCAGCAGCGATGATTATGTGGCTCACTTCCGGTATCCGTCCCAACTCCGACTGACGGAAGCGACGACATAAATTGACACCGTGTTTACTAAACGGCGGTCAAACTGCAGGTTCATATATTACAATTGTTTAACCTTTTAAGAGTTAAACCAGTTGAATTAAACAAACAGAGAAGACGTAATAAGAGATGGCGGATCCTGCGGTGGCGTCGGGCGGCTCTCTTAACGCAGGAGGGGTAAGAAGAAGATGATTTAATACTCGGAGCTCTGAGCTGCATGTAGCTGCATGTAGCTGCATGTTGAGCTAACCAGACTCTCTGAAAACAACAAGAAATATCATTCAGCCTAACCTTACATAAACAGGTTACAAGCTTAACTATGTCATATTTAATCATCATGCATTTGTCTGTATGTTAATTTATGAATATCTTGTCAGGACACATGTGAGTGTTTATTTTATTCCTGTGGAAGAGTTGAAGCTGAAGATGTGAAAACATTTCTGTCCGGTCTCATTCACTCATTTCTATATGAAGGTGTTAATATGAAGGTGTTAATATGAAGGTGTTAATATGAACGTGTTAATATGAACATGTTAATATGAAGGTGTTAATATGAAGGTGTTAATATGAACATGTTAATATGAAGGTGTTAATATGAAGGTGTTAATATGAACATGTTAATATGAAGGTGTTAATATGAACATGTTAATATGAAGGTGTTAATATGAAGCTGTTTCTGCTGTAGGTCCAGCCTGACACTGTAGTTATTGTAAACGTACAAAGTATTAGACTTCTTATTTGCCTCCTTCCAAGCAGTAAAAGTGAAGGACTCCCCGCAGCGGGGTGCAGCTGAGCAGGGGTCAGACCACCAGTTGTGGTGAATCATGATTTAAAACGTGGTTTTAATGAAGTAATAAAGAGTCATATTTAAAGTTTTAAGTGCTTTATTGACACTTTTTTTTCTGAAATAATTTACAAAAACACAAAACTTCAGTGTAAAGGCAGATACAGTAATGTATGCACAATGAAATCAATTCAATTCAAAAAACTTTATTTGTCCCCGGGGCAATACAAAGTCACACAGAGCAGTAAATTAACAACAGTGCAGGTAGACGAAACATTTTAATCTAAATATAAAGTGTCAATTTAAATAGAACTTAAAGCTTAAACTTAATTTAAAAATACAAAATATAAAAAGAGTAGATATAAGTGGACAGTGATCGGACTAACAGATGTAAACACAACTATGTGCAGTAAACGAGAAATACACATGTATATATACAGAGCTATGTGCAGGTAGGCAAATACTAAATGATAAGTTATTAAGGTGCGTGGTGAAATGCAGCTAACAGGACTTCAGCAGATGATTACTACGAGCTAGGCATATCTAATTTACAACTTAACCTAAACTTCAAATAAAGTCATTAACTTAACATTAATTCATTAACAGAGTATTATTGAAGTGCTTTTGACACTGCTGTAACATAGTTAATTAATTAAATAAACAGTAAGAATTTAATAGTATTTTTATTCGTTTTTGTTGTTTTCTCATGATGAATGATACTATTAATATGGGTTTGAACTATTTTCTTATTGTATTAATTAAATGTCTACTGTCGATATATTGATGTTGTATTGATGATATCTCGCCCAGGACAAACTGTGAATACAGATTTAGCTCAAATAAATGTAATCTTTTTGTTTTTATGTACTGAAAAATATTCACACTATCCAAACTATACTGGAATAACCTATTTATAAACATGTGAGAAAATATATGAAGTAGGCCTACAATAGTTTCCTTTATATTATATTCATTTTGTATTTCTGCATCCGTTTACGTTTCAATGGTGCACGGTGCAGGTCTCAAAGACACCTGCAGACATGTTTCCTTCTGACTCCTATGACTTTCTCTCACCCAATCACTAAAGAGCTCTTATTGCTCATGCCAAAAAACAACCAAACAAACCAACGGACTCTCCGAGGAGGCGGGAACTAGCCGGCTGAATGATCCTGAGTTCAAGGCATCTTGGAAATACGGGACAAACCGCGTCCCGTATTGATTCAAAACGGGATGCAATATCAAAGTGTAAAATACGGGACGATTCCGTATTTTACGGGACGGGTGGCAACCCTAGTTGCACTCAATGTTCTTCCACACACAGTTATAAAATCAGTTTACAGGAAGATTTAGCAAAACAGGGCCAAGTTAGCAAAAATAAAACATATATGAAACTAAAGATACAACTAATATGTCCTAATTCATGGATACACTTTAAACGTAGTGATGCTGTCGGAGATTTTTATACTTTTCTGTACTATTTCACACTTAATCATAAATGTCCGGATTTCCACAACACTGTTGATGTTTATTTTTTCTCTATTTATTTGGTTCATGTGAAGGTTTGTCTTTAATGTGCTGTGATAAGTCAGTTTTATTATGCAAATAATTAAATTCATGATTTATTTTCTGGTGTTTTGTTGTCAGCGTGGGAGTGGCAGTAAAGCAGCTACCAGCGCTGCAGAGAACTACCACCTGGCCAGGCGTCGCACCCTGCAGGTTGTAGTCAGCGCCCTCCTCACAGAATGTGGCTTTGAGAGTGCAGAGAAGGCAGCAGTGGAGACTCTCACTGAGATGATGCAGAGCTGTAAGTATGGAGCCTCCAATCAATGAGGATGTCTAGAGTTTCCTATTTGGCTCATTTTGAATATTTTATGTATCAAAATGAAAACACACCATAAAAGTCTTTATTTACCTCGTTACTAATTCACTTGCTTCTTCATGATGTTCATCGTGTGTGTCAAGATGTGTTTTTCATATGTTTTTCTGTATGCCAAATAAAGTAAGGCCAAAAAGAATAATGAACATTTCCTTTACCTCTTACTCTGCTGACTGGTTACGGTTCTGAAGCAATCATGTCATGACATCTCTTATGAAGTTTTTAAACAACTTTCCTGAAAATTAATTGAAGGATTCTTTGTTTGCAGATTGACTCAGATTATTTTTGATGCTTTTATATATAAATTGTTTTGCATTCATAACCAAATCCTTTTCTAAACCACACATTCTTTTCTTTTTCAGATATAACTGAAATAGGTCGATGTGCTAAAGCATACTGTGAACACACAGCCAGAAGCATCCCGACGCTGTCAGACACAGTGATCACACTCATCGAGATGGGTAAGTACTCACAGACACCGAGTTATACAATCTCTGTTTCTAACACAAGGTCAAAGGTAAAGAGTAAGTATCATGAAATGTGTGTGTGTGTCTGCAGGATTTAATGCCGACACTCTGCCCGTGTACGCTAAGAGATCACAGAGGATGGTTATCACTGCCCGTAAGTAGACCCTTACTCTTAACTGTTGATGTGGATCGTTGGTCCCCCATGTGAGCTCTGCTGCTCAGAGGCTGACAAAATTAGATCTGTAGATAAAATAATGATAACAAACTAACTGGATATTAGAGGAAAGTGTAAAAAAAGATTTTCCCTTGCCCGAAAATTGTAGGCTTCTTCGTCGGCCACACCTCTAATTCAGGTTCTAAAAAAACCAATTAGAATTTATGTTAAGTTTTGACAGCAATGTATCACTTTTTCCCCCAGTGTGGCTCGTTTGGTAACTCAGCTTTTCTTAGATAAAAGTAGTAGGGGCTCCAATGACATTCGTTGAGAACCACTGTTATAGATTATACATATGATAGTTACACTTTCTACTTTCGTTCAGAAATATGAAGAAAAACACTTGACATAACCCACCTTTTCTTTTTCCTTTTCTTTGTGTTGATTTCATGAATTTCAGCTCCTGTGACAAATCTTCCAGTTACTCCCAAAGCTCTGTCAGCCGGCCAGAAACGCACTCATCCCTCTCACATCCCCGGCCACTTCCCGGAGTTCCCCGACCCTCACACCTACATCAAAACACCCGTGAGTCCCACTTTTTTCTTCTCAGGTTCCTTTGAATTTAAAAAACTTTAAACCCCTGCAATCAGGGCAACAAAACCTTCATCATGTGTAACAGAGCAAACTGAGATTATGCCCTGTGTGTTTCTCTCTGCTCTCAGACGTTCAGAGAGCCCGTGTCGGACTACCAGGTGGTGAGAGAGAAGGCAGCGAGTCAGCGGAGAGACGTGGAGCGGGCACTCACACGCTTCATGGCCAAAACCGGAGAAACCCAGAGTCTCTTCAAAGACGACATCACCGCCTTCCCATGTGAGTTATTCTGCCAAAACACATCTTTAGTGTAAGAGTCAGTTGTGATTTATTTTTGATCGTGTCAGTCTTTGATGATACTGAAATCATCTCGTTTTTACTCAAGTCATCCTTTTGGCCTTTTTCAGTAATCGCAGCTCGACCGAGCACCATCCCGTATCTCAGCGCACTCCTGCCCTCAGAGCTGGAACTGCAGAGTCTGGAGGAGACCGACTCGTCTGAGCAGGACGACCAGACGGACAGCGAGAACACGGCAGGAAACAACATCGCTGTAAGTCTTCAATATCGTTTGTTTAGGGGTCTTTCTCTGAGATCGTAGATTTCCTGTAAGATGGAAATTCAATATCTTTTCCTTGTCATATGTTGAATTTTATTCTGAAAACTTTAAAGGAGCAATTTGTAAGATATCTACTGAATTAAATCTAAAAAAAGTGACCTTACTTTATCATCAGACATTAAGGAAACATGCTATGTTGAAGTGCAGGCTTCTCTGATAACAATGCAGCAGCCAGTAGAGATGCTTTTAAAAAATAGAGGTTAGAGAAGAACGGTTTGAAGACCGACAGAGCAGGTTAAACACTGAAGCTTCAGTGTCTGAAACATGGCAACCTGCGTGCACATCGGCTCTAGAGAGGAGGGGACAGGGGGGAGACAGCTCTCTCCAATGTTTAGAATTTGGACTGCAGTATCGATTTTAAACACTAGGTGTCAGAGTTGCATATAGCTCCTTTAACCGTGTAATCAAAAACACTCAAGTTTTCTGATGTCATTCTTTCACAAAGATGATATTATGTGGTAAAATATCTCAGGAAACAGTCACTCCATCCATGAAAGAACACCACAAACCACAAAGACTGATCGCCTCATGTTTTTTAACGTGCCCTCTCAACATCCCCATCAGCTAAATACTGACCCACTGTTGTTACTGGTTGGAGAAAAAGCAGAAATTGTCTCTTTTAAAAGGTCAACTTTTCTCGACCGGAACATGGACATTTCAGGGTTAGCATGAAGTTTCACCATGGTAACACCAGTGAAGGTTTGGAGAAAGTGTTTGAAGACGACGTCTGTTCTGCTTAATACATGATCTGCTTAAATGTTTCCTGGATGTGTACTGAACTCCACTTTACCTTTCAATAGATGTTCATAATAGGGGCTTTGTCTTACATGACATTCTCCAACTCCAAACTAAGTATTAGAAGTTTATGAAGTCAGGACACTTTGAACAGACTTTGATTTTTAGCTTTGAAAGCTCAGGAGTAATAACTATATTCCCATCTAGCTCGTCATATTCTCCTATATCTACAAACTTTACTTTAAATGTGAGTTTGTTAAAGTGTTCTACAATGATTGTGTTTTTGTTTCCCTGGCTCAGGACGACCCCGGAGCAGACAAAGAGAACTCCATACTTCCTCCCAGCGGCGTCGTTCCCTCCGCAAAGAGCAACGACGACAACATGATCGACAACCCGTACCTCCGACCGGTCAAGAAACCGAAAGTCAGGAGGAAGAAATGAACCACCTGAACGTACAGACTCACATTTTTCCACAGTGGTTTTGTTCTTTCAGCCAGTCTGTGATTCTCTCCAGACCCCCCAGAGGAGGAGCAGCACAGGCACAGTGGCTGCTCGCCCTCGATGCTGGAACCAGTACCCACTGTTTGCTTTTTTTGTATACTAACTGACTTCTAATGAAGAGAACTTTTTTTTTGTTTTCATTTTTTGAGCAAGCACTCACTTCTGTTTGAAATGTCATTTTGTAAGAAACATAATCGTGAAAAAAAACCAGCCCAAACAGGAATGGAGACATGTTGTGAATAAAGAAATATGTTTCTTCAGTAAGAAAGGTTTCAGTCCAGTAGATGAAAATGTTTGTTTTTTTTTTGCTGTTTTGTTCAAATCATAATCTCAAGCAAATAACACAATAAAAGCAGCATCGGACGTCGTGGCAGGCCGTCGTCCATCAGCTCTGGAGTTAATAGTACAAACTGAGGTAGGCCACTCGGCTCCTGTGCTTCGAGAACTCCTCTTCATTGTTGAGCTGTAGAAAAACAAAATCACACCGAGTAGAACTCATGAGGAAGTGGTGCATTTCTTCCAGCAGCTGTGTCAAACATCAGAATCAACAGTTATAACTCTCAGAACTTGTTTTTAAATATGCAATATTATAAAATGGGGAAATGCTCTTCTATCCTGCCCAGAGTTCGATGAGAACATCAACGCCTATATAAGGGCATACTGTGTGTTTTGGTCTTGGACACAGTGAGATGACAAGAAGATGAAAGGAGGATCTGATTGGGCCAGGCACCAGAAAACATCTGAGTTTTAATAATAATACTTTTTGGAGTGTTTATAGTGAATATTTCTGAATTCTTTTTAGATTATTTGACTAGAAGTAATTGCACATGGCTGACAAACAATTCAACCCACCTCTCAAAGGAACCAGTCATTAAATAAACTTTCTAAAGGCACAAGATATGTTGAATTATTAAAGTTCAAAAGGGGCTCTAATGCACTGGTTCTCAACTGGTCTACTCTAAGGATCCACCACCAACTCCTTCATGAAAATCGTAACCCAAATGTTTGATATTTTTCCAACCAATCAGATTTCTTGAATGGAAAACGATACGAAAAATATGATGAAACAAAGAGAACAAAAACATGCATGTTTTAAGAGCGCTTCATAGACTTCTTACACTTTATTTATTTATTGTTCGCGACCCACTGAAAACAGCTCTGTGACCCACTTTTGGGTCCCGACCCCCAGTTGAGGACCACTGCTCTAAGGGGGATGTGGTTAACTTTTAATGATAGTACATGGCTAGCTTTTTTTTTTTAGCCTTTATGCTAAGCTAACTGCTGGTTGTAAAGAAAACATTGGGGATCTCCTCTCAGTTAAATGTCAGTGAGAAAGTCTATTTATAGAATCATGAATATTCATCTGAAGCTGAGCTACAACAGCTCACTTCTCTAAAGATATAAGAAAAACATTTTAACCTTCTGAACAAGCTATAGATAATCTTAAATAGATAAGGGTTAGCAGGTATGGACATAATGTTATTCTTGTTTTTACATTTAAAAGTCAAATCTTTAGGGCGTCTGGCCAGCTGCATACATTTCATCTTTCTCCACCCACCTTCACCCTCAGTGACTTCTTCTCCAGCTGAGGCAGTCTGGACCAGTCTGGGCTCCCAAAGCACATCGGCCACGTCACCTTCCTGTTTGTCACTGCATCAGGAGCGTAGGTCCCAGGGCTGGATCCCAACATGAACATCTGTTAGTTTCACTTCAGCATGTTACATTTACATTGTGTGTGTGTGTGTGTGTGTGTCTCACCCCGGAGTGCACTCTGAACTTAATGTGCTGCTGAACCTCTGTGTGTTGGAGTTAAAAGGGGTTTTGCCAGGAGGGGGGACTCTGGACTTGCTTTGGTCAGGCTGGTACTTCGTAGGAGAAGGAGTCACCGTCTGGAGATAGAAAATAAAAAAATCACATCTATTTACTTCTAAACATTCATAATAAAGTCTGAAACTGACTGCATATCAACAACTTTCATCAGAACCTGGCAGTCTTGTTGTAAATCTCACTCCTCTAGTTTACATGCACACTTTCACTCAAACTTGGGTGACCAAACTCTGGAAATCAACTCTACATATAACACAGGCTTTATTGAGATGAATTAAAGTCTGAAATGAACGCAGTCATAACTCTTTTATTTAAATTGCAATTAATCTCATGCTATTTTGTCCCTTCAGGACGGTAGATAATTTACCTTTGAGCTGTTTGACTTTTGTTTTTCATACGTAACAAGGTCCTTTTCCTGTGGTTGGGTTAATGTTGTAACCTTAAATCTACCAGAGGGTCCTAATTTAATTTCAAAATAAAAGCAGGGTTGAATTCAAACAGCAAGTAAAGTACTCTCAGCTCAAGACAGTACCAAATTCAAAATAAAAGCCTAACAGATGTTATTTTTAAATGCGAAATAATCTAAATTCAAATTTGCAATTTAAAATACCATTAATCGCCATAAAAAATGTGTAATCATTTGACAGCCCTTATTTAAATCACTATTAGAGTCTTTTTAAGTCCTTTTTGTTAGTTTGTTAAAGGATTCGGGTCAGGTTTTTCTTATCATTTTGGAATTTTGTGCATAAAATGAACCTATTCTCAAATATCAACACACAAAGATGGAAGGTTTTTGTTTCACATAAAAGCACCAAACTTTCTTTGTAGGCTAACCAAAAAAACTGTTCTCCAAAAAGCTGTCTATCTATCTAAGTACTATTATCCAAATATAATGTCACACCATCCTGTTTGATGTGCCCTCAGTACATGAATGATACCACAGGTAACTTGTGTAGTATCTATGTGGTTCATGTACCTTATTACAGGGGGGAAAGCGAGTTGCAGTCCTTGCAGAGATAACATATCCTCTCTTACTTTCTGGTGTCTTCTGTAAATCGTAAAGGATGGTGCCAAACTGTGAAGGAAATGAAAACATTTAGACCTCACTGATAAAATGAGAACACACTGATTTGAAGACCTGTTAATGATTTTTTTTAGACAAATGTTTAAATGTGACAAGGATCATTAATTGTTGATTAAGCAGATATTTAAGAGCAGCTCTGGTTACCTCGTGGTTGTCATAGCAACCAGGGCCAAGAAAGAAAGTGTCGCCTCAAGCTTTCAGGACGTTGTCGTGTTTAGATTTGCTGTTACCAGGGCAACAACGATGACGCGTAAATACCTGGTGTGCAGTGGCGATTCTAGAGTCTCTTGGGGCCAAGAATCAATTGGGGGGGCCCTCTAACCAGGGTTTATCACCATTATGTCTGCCATTGTCTTCCTCCTCCTCCTATTTTTCCTGTTTCCTTTCCTCTCTCCTATAGACGGATAATTCCTCTGCAGTTTTTTCTTTGTTCAAGTTCAAGTTATCTTTATTAGTCAAATGCACAACATAACAGGCAAAGTAGTCATATAAATAAAAAAATAAAAAAATAAATAAAAAAAATGAAAATGAAATAATATAATACAAAATAGTATATATTGACTGTCATTGACAAACTCGCTTAGCATTTCAACGCTTAGCAGGACAACGAGAGTGAGTGCTGTCAGATGGGGCCCCATTCAGGAGGTTTCCTGCTTTCATCGCCAAATTTGCACATGTGGTCCACTGCTTTGGTTTAAGTTTGTGAGCCCTCAGGGGCCCCCTACTGGTCTGGAGCCCCAAGCCATTTGCCTGGTTGACAAGCAGCACCTCTGCTGGTATGCAAATTGCCAATGTTTTTGTCCTCGATAAAAACAACTAAACGTGTCTCTGACTCCAAAAAGCTTTTAAAAAAAACCCCACAATGAAATCACAATTCAAACATTTTTTTTATTTTCAATTAAAGACATTGGCAAAATGCACATTCAAAAGTTTGACAAACAGAACAGAGGCACTGTCATTATTAAACCCGAAGCGAGGGATAAACGTCCAGAGAAGGCTAAGTATTGCAGAGAAAGTCTTTTTATACAAATAAATAATTTGTCAAAAAAAATATTACTGAAGCGGTGGCACTCTGATTTGTCTTTGGAAGAAGTGAGAACTCAACTAAATCCAAAGTAAAAGTAAGGCAATTCCGAGAAGGAGAAACATTTCAGAACATGCTCGTAAACAGTAATTTACTCTTGATATACACACAGTCACGTCTTTCATAACCAGTAGTCTTTGAATTACAGTTTCGCTGGAAGAAAAAAATAAAAAAACTGAGGTCTGAAAGGTCCTACAGCATTTAGCGACACATTCATGATAGCACAGAAGGCATTCTCTGGTGAGAGAAATTATTGCAATTTTTTTTAGGTGGGGGGGGATATCCACAATGTCTGGCAAACTATGGCACACATTTATCTCCAGGCACACATGCAGTCAAAAATCACCTCGTACAAAAGGTGCTTCTAATTTGGCACTTGCAGATGAAGAGATATGAAATGGAATGTCTATTGTAAGAAAACAGGATGTAAAGACAGTTGTGGAGGGATTCAGGAAACAAAAGTAGAAGAAGAAATCTGAGGGAAACATCAGAGAAAAGGTCCAAATATACAAAAGCAACATGACAAGGAGGGAGTGAGGGACTGCTTCACTCAGACTGAGGCACTGAAATCGAAGGACCTTTTGGGTCGTCGAATCGATCCATGGTGTGAAGCTGCATGATCATGTGCAGACCGTAAACAAAAATGAACAGCATGAGCAGCGACGACAGCAGCCCCATCCAAATCCCTGCAGTGAAGAAGCCAGCACAGTCGCTGGCGTAGGAGAAATCTGTGCCGTTGCCCAAACTGAAGCCCTGAATCTGCATCGAGAAATCAGAGAAGAAACACTCAATGAACAAGAGAAAGACTAAACACAGCAGTACATCATTAAAAACATAAATATTTGAGGTGCTGGATGTAAAAGATGCTGTTGTAGTTGTACCTGGAAGTCGACGAAGTTGAGCCTCCACTGCGAGGCGTTTGCGTTGGTGCTGTTAGGGAAGAGCAAAGCATCCCCGAAGCTGCTGACAGACATGCAGTGATAGGAATACTCTGCAGGGGCGTAGATGCTGCGGCTCCCGAAAGACGCAGTCAGACTGCTAGCCTGAAGCTGCACAGAGTCCAGGGCGAACCAGTTCCGGGCGGATACAGGATAGAACCGCTGACTCATGGCAAAGCTGCAAATCAACAGAGGAGTGTTTGGTGAATAAGGATGAAAAGTCAACGCTAGAAATGTGTGACAAGACAAGAGGTAATTATTGATATAAATAAATCAAAGGCTTGACTGTTCATTAACTGACCCCTCGTGTTCACTATCTGAAAATTCCTGAAGTACTTGTGGTGACACTGAAGACCAAGACAGATGGAAACACATGGCACTGCCCTGCTGAGCTGATTAAAAAAACCTATTCACTAGAAAGTGAACAAGCTATTTTGTATTAGTGTCCGAATTCTAATACAAGTCCGAGTGAACATGATCATACCCTATATAGTCCACTCATTGTATCCCAGAATGCACTGCAAAAAGTAGTGTACAGCCGATGGTCACTATCCGAGCAATATGTACCAGAATGCATTGCAGTGACTCGACTGCTCTCAGGCGGCCTCATTTCAGCTCTCATTTCTCACTCAGTCTATCCACTGTCCTATCTCTCTAATAAAAAAAGCTACAAAATGCCCCAAAAATAAATCTAAAACAATGAATAGAGTAAAAGCTCATCAGCGTTAGTTTGTCCTAATGATGATGACTGACACAAGATAATAAGCCTGTGAGCATGAATAAATGAGTTTTAAAGTGAAAATATGTTTCATTATATATCTAAAAATGCAATATTTTATATTTATTTATTCTTTGTAAATGTTTTTTTCTCTCTTACCTTAGTGTATAGCCGGATGCATAGGTGAGGACAAGTCTAGAGATAAAATAGGAGAACACATTAAGGATTATTTCTTTCACATAACACAACAACACTTGAGTTCTCTTTGCAAAGAGCAAAAACAAACAAACAAACAAACAAAGAGCTTACTGTGAGTTGCTGATGTTGCAGAAGGATCCCGTCAGCGTCGGTGTGTCTGCAGCGAGGTCTATCCAAGCTCCGGTGCTCGAGAGGCTGATGTTGAGATTCTGAGCCCAAAGCATTATGCAGGGGCCTCCGGTTCCATTAAACATGATCGGAGGTTTGACGCTTGGTGGTGGAGCGGCTTGGAGCAAGGAGCGCCCAACAGGCTGACCTGATAGGGATGTCTCTGAAATCACCTGCAAGGATGACTCCTCAAATTAATATGATAAATACTTTATGTCATGACTGAAATGTTATTGTATGTGATGTTTGGCGAGCATAGAAATTAGGGATTGTGATAAACATCGTATTGTGAGTTGAGTGTATTGTTTAACTATGGTGCACTTCACAGAAAAACCTCACCCGTGATGGCTGGGATCCTGTGTAAACTGCGGTGTATTTGACATTTTTGTCTTTCATGATACTCAGAACTTTCCCAATTATCTCATCTGTTGAAAAGCAAAAAAAACAAATGAGTTACACACTGATTTATTAAGATATAAGCACAAGGTTATAATTGTACTCGAAACAAATTGCTCATCATTTTACACTTTGAAACAACTCAGAAAGTACCATTGTCATGTAGGACTTCTTTGCAAGACTTGTGTGCGCTGTAAAACAGAAAGGGTTTATTTTCACCTGAAGAAACAGAGACATTAATTGATATGATCCAGACTTTAAAAGCACAGCTCTTACTTAGTACAATAAGGGAGATTGATGAGCAGCAGGTTGCTGGCAGATGAGTTGATGCTGAGATGTGTCAGAGTGTCTGCGTCTACGAGCAGAGGAGACACACCCAGCTCCTCCTGCAGCAGAGCGGGGATGGCAGAGGAGCCAGACCACTCTAAAGCAGGCAGCGTCACTGATGAGGAGGAAGTCTGCAGTGCAGCCTGAAAGAGGGAGAAGGAAAGAATGATCAGTATCATTAGTCTAAAAAAAAATAAAAAAATAGTCACCACACAGGAGGATTAATGTGAGCTTTTAAAAGAACATACCTCGAGATTTTGAAAGGCACTGTCCTGCTTGTTTCCAAACACACCACCAAAAACTGTGAAGTCATCTTTGCTTAACTGGAAGACAGAAACAGAAAGATCTAAATATAACAAAACGAGCAGAGAGGCGGGAACAATGAAGACGGCAATACAACGCTACATCAATCCATCCCATTTATTACTCACCACAGAGAAAATATCCTAGCAATGTGTTACAGAGGAAGTGTGAAAGGGGAAGTAATAGCAGAGCTCATTGTCACACCAGAATGAGGAGTCTGCTACACAGTGTCACATGGGACTACAGTGCTACTACTACACATGACTCAGTACTCCCCTGATTTACACAACAAACATATCCAGGATCTAGCTTCTCCTGTCCAACACTTTTCAGCCTCCAATCCCACTCCAGTTACTGAAATCTTGTACCGTAGTTCACCGAGGAGAAGAGACTGACCTTGTCCTGCAGGAACAACACCACAGTGCGAGGGCCGGAGCCTAAGGCAGAGGTGAGGTAGGCAGTCAGCTGGTCTGTGGAGGTGATGTGACCAGCTGCAGAAGGAGCCAGTGCTGGAAGTCTAATCATGCAGGACAGAAAAATTGCAACCTTGTAAAAAAAATTGTTACCAATCACTTTAACACATTTTAATAAACAGTGCTGCAGTTATTAGAACATGAATTACTAAAATCACACCATCACAAGTACAGGGCTGCGGAGGATGTCAGTTCCCCTGCAAAAAAGCTGCACCTCACTCAAAAAAATGATAACGCTATAACATGTCTGCTTTCAGAGTTTGTACATGCTGTGATACTTTGTTGGTTTATTCTGTACTGTTCTAGGAGAGGTAACCATTTTCTGTTGTTCTTTCTCAGGTTTCTTCAGTTTCTATCCTGTGTAATATTATGTGGTCTGTAGGAGTTTTTCAGCATCTGATTTTGGGGTGTAAGGGAGGGTTTCACATGCCTTCTTTCAGAGGAGCATCTGTTCCTGCAACTTCATGTCCACTCAACATTCTTCCCTTGACCAACCTGCCGTTTTCACCTCAAACCATATACAACCTTTTACTCATTTTGAATAAAATCAAATCCAAAAAAAGCTCTAACATGGGGCGCTGGTTTAGCTCAGTTGGTAGAGCAGCCGCCCTGTGAACAGAGGCTACAAACCTCATCGCACTGGTGGCCGATTCAACTCACGATCCTGATTGCTATTTCATGCATATCATATCACCCCCCCCCCCCCATCTCGCAAAATACCTCATTCAAATACTAGAGTCGCCTTCCAAGAGAACTTCAGCTGTGCTATCAAACAAAGGCTAAAAAACATCTTTATATAAAAAGATGCAATATTATACAGTAACTATAACTATACCCACTGACTGTCTGCATCACAGAAGCCCTCCCCTCCCCCCTTCCTCCTCCACCTTCTGACTCTCTGCACCACACTGAAGCTCCCACTCCCTGGACTCAGAGCCCCCACCCGACTCTCAAAATACCCACTGGAGTCCTGTATAACTAAGTGCAATATATTTATTCTATACCTGTCACCTCCAAATTCATTGTATTTTGTATACTATACATCTTTACATAAAAAGCTGCAACATTATACAGTAAAACAGCCTCCACACATCAACAACACAATACCCATTTCATATCATATTTACGCTCCTATATTTACAGTGCACAACAAGTATTGTTCATGATGACATCCTGAAGTGGACCCTGTCCCCGTTCTGATTAGTATTAACTGATGAACAGTCACATTTAACCTCTAAATGAGCATCTTGTTGTCACCATGTTCATTAATGACAACCTGATCCTTTAAAAGATAAAACAAAGATCATCCTGTGTGGATCCTCAGAGGGCAAAGTGACGTGTTGCAGCAGGAAAAGACAAGAAGAAGAAGAGCATGCGTACAAATAAAATGAGAATAGTTAGGAATAAAATAAATAAAAAGGTACAATGTGTTTACAACTTTTAACTAGTAAGTATTAAGTAAAACAACACTAAAAACTATAAAGGACATTGAGACATTAATATCAGGTTTAAGAGGAACTACTATGTAAAACTTAGTGTCACTGCCTGACCTCTAAACACTTCATAATCAAACTTCTGTGAAGCTGTTTCCTTCACTTTGATCACTTAATTAAAGGATCATTTCAACATTTTATAAGAGCTTTAATAAACATATTAAAATAACTGAGAGACTTCAGACAGGAATGTGGAAAGTTTGAAGAACTACGACTTCTGTTACACGATAAACTGACTGAAATCTCGAGATGAATTTAGACTTTCATCAGATCATCAGATGATCTTATTTGGATTTCAGTAAACACACAGTTAGCTTCAAGTGTTAGCATTAGCATGAGAATCAGCTGGACTCTTTAAAGTAGCTCGAACTTGACAAACAAGTTAGAATAAATAAGTTATATTACCCGTCACTGGACCATAACAGAACTGGCACTTGGGCTGTGGAGCTCCCGGTGGAGAAGAGGGCGAATAAAAGGGCAATAAAGGCCATCAGCCGCGGTCGAGTGGAGCACTTTGGATCTGCCATTTTCGGTTAGTTTTCCGCAAAGTTCTGAGTCACGTGACGCCAGCCAGCTGACAGTCATGTGCGCAGTGGTCATGTGCGCAGTGGTCATGTGCGCAGAGGAGCAGCCGTTGGAAGAAAACGACTTCCGGTTTCTTTCATTCTGCAGCGCCGTGAGGGGAAGTCCGGCTCTTTCTAGGGAGCCGGATTTCTTTTCACTCATTTTTTTAACCTTCTTAAAAAAAAACATTTTTATCGTAAGGCCTTCTTATAATCCTCGTTTCATCCAGGATGTTTTATTTGTTTTACTGTTAATTTCAGCCGATCTTTGTCTCGGTTCTCTTTTCTCTGTTAATTTAATGATTGTTGTTTTATTTTATTTTTATTATTTTTATTTTTCATGTTTTTATTTTTTAATAGGATTTTATTGTTGTGTATTTGACTGTTGGGATTTTTTTATTTTTTCTGTAAAGCACTTTGTGACGTTGGTTTTGATAAGTGCTTTATAAATAAACTTTATTATATTATTATTATTTTACGTTTAAACAAACTGATTTGAAAATATACTCCCAGACACTCTGAAACCTAAAATCCTCTAAGAACAAAATTAAATAAATCTATGAAATTATGCAGCCACATTATTAATTTACCAAATTAAAACCTCTTGTGGGGAATATATAAAGAATAACTCACCTAGTTGTCCATCAATCATAAAACAATACTGAATACCGTAATTGTTTTTATAAATGACGCAACTCTGCACTGTCTTTAATTTGTATTAAAACCAAAATTATTTTTTCCTTTAATTAATTAATTCATTAAATTCATTAAATTCATTTAATTCATTTAATTCATTAATATATTTAATTTATTTAATTTATTAATTTATTTAATTTATTTAATTTATTTAATTTAAAACATATTAGTCTATTATGTTTGACTTGAAATGTTATTCTCTAATTAGATGTGCAGAGATAATATTTTAGAAACATGTTATTGGATAGCATTCTTCATATTTACTTGTATTAGTTCAGTTATAACACAAACACAGTATTTGACTCCCTAATGGGAGCCGGTTCCCCTCGGTGACTAAAGGAGCTGGTTCTTATAGCTGACTCGTTTTTAATCTTCACAGCACTGCTGCCTGCCCTGCCCTCTGCTGCCTTTTATTAACACAATGGGAGATTGTTGCTTTTTTTCATGTTTTTTTGTTCTGTTTAGATTCACACTTCAAGCTTAGTTTCTTCCAGTATTTGGACACATCTTCAGCTGTTAGGCTTAGCTTAGTGGATACTTCCTTGCAGAGTTTAGCACAACATTTGGTGCTATAAAAAAACTACAGTCTTTTATAATGATTAATCTAAAATAAACAGACATGTGATGTGTAAAATGGAGCTGAACTTTGTACTTTGTTCATGAATGACAGGTACACCTTGCAACTGTCCATGGTGCTGATACACACATTTTGGCACTTTAACAGGCTACTTGTATCATTTCGACCCACTCATGTGTGGCGATTTTATATGAGATATAAAAGGACCAAAGCAGAAAACAGAAGTAAAGTTTCAACTGTTTCTTCTTTTGAAAAGGCCTGTGTGTGTGTGTGTGTGTGTGTGTGTGTGTGTGTGTGTCAGTGAGAGTATAAGCAACTCCCATCCACACAGCTGTGGTGGCGGAGGGATACTTCCTGCATCAACGTAACGTTGCGCCTACAACTGGAAAGGAAGGATAGAAAAGAAAATAGAGAACAAACAGACTTGGACAAAATGTAATTCTAATGGACACAAACATGGTCAAAGTCCGAGACAAACGATGAAAAAGAGACAAAGCATGAGCCCAATCGCTCGCAGCTCGGAGCGAGGTTTCCCATTACACACACAGCCTTTTTCAGTTTGAGTCCATTGTGTGTCGGGATGGGAAAAAAGAGGAGGATGCGCACTATTTCCCGACGCGCACTCAGATTGTTCTAGAGTGATCCACGTACAGGGCCATCTTTGGTCGTCCTCGCCGGTGACAGTGTGGACAGTTTATTCCATTGGTCATTAAAAACCTGGCGATTCATAAATAATACTTAACTTTGAACGAGCTCTTTTTGAAGCACTCGGGCAGAGAAAGGCGAGCCGGATCCCCGCTTATTTGTGGACCCACTTTTGCATTATTTCCTTCAGTACCCTTCATTTCTTGAGGCGAAAAGAGGGCGAGACGGGAGAGGCGGTGATACAACATGGATGAGGAATATGATGTGATCGTTTTGGGCACCGGACTCACAGTAAGTAGTCGAGCTTCATCTGTCTTGCACGGAGACAAATGCATTTTTTTTTAAATTTCCAAGTGATTATTTAAGGCAGACTCGTAAAAGGCCCGCTTCCCCTCTGTGTATCCTAACTCACAAGTGAAAGCCTCCCTGCATCCCTGTGTGCCTGTGACATAAGACATTTGAGATAACAGATGCGCTTTATATAAATATCTCTAAACAAACAATGAGTCTGACTGGGTGTGCATCGAAGGAAAACAATAATTGCTCAAAGGGTTTTTTTTTTTTTCAATATTCCCAAAGTTGATTCAGTGTTGTGTTACACCCTGTAGCATCTTTTAGGCGTAACCCAGCAGTGTGTGTCATGGTCCTCTTTGCATAGACAGGCCTCCATCCTGAGGTCTGCGCAGGCCTGAGCTCGGGTTTATTAAATGACTGAGCCTTTCCCTGCTGCTGCCCCTGCCGCAATTCAACTCAATTATCACACCCCAATGCGGCAGGATTACCCCGGACACATTGTGTGTGATAATAATACGTCTTTTGGCAAGAATTAAAGTCGACATTTCGGGACTTTAATAAGATATTAAATATATTTTTGTCATTGTAGATCCACAATAATTTATATTTTAGAATGTTTTAATGTCACGCGACTGTTATTCTTTAAAACACAGCTGTCATTACTGTTATTATTACTATGATTATTATTATGATTATTACAGTAGATATCTGTGGAACGATCTAGTTGCGCATGCGCACACGTCCCTTCTGCCCTCCCTGAAGCCTGCTGTCAAAGCCTCTCAATTTGCGGTGCTGGTTGTTGGTTACAATGGTTGCTTTTCAAATTGATCTAACTTTAATTTGATGCCTAATGATTTTAAAACGGATGTGTTGCTGTTGATACTTATGTATTGTTTTTTTAAATCTTGCTTCTTTTTTTTTTAAAGGAATGCATTCTGTCTGGGATCATGTCTGTGAATGGGAAAAAGGTTCTGCACATGGACAGGAACCCTTACTATGGTGGCGAGAGCTCCTCCATCACCCCTCTGGAGGAGGTAAAGAGCTCCTGGGATCTATAAAAGCAATCAATATATTTTATATCCCTCACTACACATCTCGTTTTACTTCCAGCAGCTGCTGTTTTTTTTAATTGTCTCTTTGCCTTGTGCTCAGTAATGCTACAGCTTCATGGATTTCAGGCCTCACAGGATGTTGTTAATGTGCCTTTTTCCGGTCTTTTCCCACAGCTGTACAAGCGCTTCAGTCTTCCAGATAGCCCACCTGAGTCGATGGGCCGAGGAAGAGACTGGAACGTGGATCTCATCCCCAAGTTTCTCATGGCCAACGGTCAGTCACAAACGACTAGTTTTGTTCATAAAGTAGTGACTATATCACGATAAATCTCCCTGACACTACTCATCATATACTGAGGATACAGAAAGACAAATAGTACATGATTAGAATTACACACATGGCCCAGGAATAAGGGATGAACCTGTCACTTAGAGATTAAATAGAAAGCTCTATCTTGATGATTTAAGGCAGAAAGTTTTGGATGTTGAGGGTTGATAAAACGAGACGCATTACGAGTTTGTCTGTGTGATTTTAGGTCAGCTTGTGAAGATGCTGCTATACACAGAGGTGACACGGTACCTGGACTTTAAAGTGGTGGAGGGAAGCTTCGTTTACAAAGGAGGAAAAATCTACAAGGTGCCATCGACCGAGACCGAGGCACTAGCTTCAAGTAAGCCCCCCCCCCAATAAGTATCACCAGAATTAATAAGCATAATGGATGTGGTGGAGCATTTTGATTAAAATCTCAGCGATCACGATGATTTAAAGCCTTTTTTTTTAAATTTCCAGATCTGATGGGAATGTTTGAGAAGAGGAGGTTTAGGAAGTTCTTAGTCTTTGTGGCCAACTTCGACGAGAATGACCCCAAGACCTTCGAGGGCGTGGACCCCAAAACAACAACGATGAGGGATGTTTACAAGAAGTTTGACCTCGGCCAGGATGTCATCGACTTCACCGGCCACGCCCTGGCCCTCTACAGGACAGACGAGTAAGAACAACACCGGCATATCACACATGGGCACAAATTACTTTATCTAAATTATTTTAAATTGATAACCAATTGTTTTTTTTTAACTAAAAATGATGTCATAGTCGACGATGAACTTTTTGGTCCTGATTATTATTTCTCTGTCTTGTTCATTATTCTCTGATGTTGTTTTCTCTCCTCCTCCAGCTACCTTGATGTCCCCTGTTTGGAGACGATCAATCGCATCAAGCTGTACAGTGAATCGCTGGCACGATATGGGAAGAGCCCCTACCTGTACCCCCTGTACGGTCTGGGGGAGCTGCCCCAGGGATTTGCCAGGTATCATTTCAAACACTTGTCTATCCACATCAATAGAGAAGATAGTCTTTAATATTAAAATTACACAAATAAAAAAGATACTCCATCTTTAAGTGTTCTTATTCCCCTTGTTTTAGATTGAGTGCAATCTACGGAGGCACCTACATGCTGAACAAACCCGTGGATGAGATTGTGATGGAAGGAGGTCATGTAGTTGGAGTGAAGTCTGAGGGCGAGGTACGGCGTTGTTGATTGTCTGCAATAAAGAACTTGAATTTTGTATATTGTTATTTCAAACTAAGATGCGTTGCACATTGCTGTCACCGTGTCCTTCCTGCGTGCAGGTTGCTCGCTGTAAGCAGCTGATCTGTGACCCCAGCTACATCCCCGACCGCGTCCGCAAGGCGGGTCAGGTAATCCGTGTGATCTGCGTCCTGAGCCACCCCATCAAAAACACCAATGACGCAAACTCCTGCCAGATCATCATTCCTCAGAACCAGGTTAACCGCAACTCAGGTGAGGATCCCCGTCACCGTGACGACATCTTTGTTGCTAGGGAGACCTGGCCCGAGACAGCAGCATAAAGTTTTCATGGTTTTAAGTTACTGGAGAAGTGAGACTGATAACAAAACCAGATCTGTTGATAGTTTTAGACAAGAACTGGACTTAATGAGGAGCATGGTGACAACTCAAGTTATACATATTTTTAAATTAAACATTTCAGTTTTAGTCAACATGGCTAACTATCCAAATGCACAAAGAAACATCAGAGTGTGTGATGTAAATTGACTTTCTAGCATGATTCTGAATTCCTAAAGGAGCTATTAATCCTCTTATATTAACAATGGATCTCATGACAACTTGTACGCAGAGGGGGGTCACTCGCAATTAAATAAGACCACCTGACTCAGCGTTTCCCCTCAGCTCTGCAGTGTTTAATTTCAGTTCTTTTGTTCTTGGCATTCTGCACTAATTATTATTTTTTGAATGCTCTACAAACATGCTTTTTGCTCTCTGCACAAAACTACAAGGTTACATAACATAGAGCCAAATGGACCAATTTGTATTTTGCTTTTGGTTATGTATCTCCCGGTTAAAAAGCAACTACAGCAACAAATAACATCAAAAATCGTCACCATGTGTACAACCTATCCACCAGTTTACATAATTTTGTTACTATACTGTCCCCATGTTTTTCTCTGTCCTGTTTGCTCATTTACTTATTTTGTCCCTCTTTCTAATTCTCTCTTTGTGACCCTTTCCTTTGTTTTTGTTTGTTTGTTTTTTGTCTAAATCTGCTTGCAAAACTGTATCATACCACAGTTCCCCTCTTGTTTGTATCTCTTTCTTTTTTATTGTGTGAGTGTGTGTATGCACGATTTGGTGAATAAAAGTTTATAAAAACAAAATTAAAAAGCAATTACAGTAGTTGCCAACAGTTTCACCATAGCGACTTTTTTAGTGGATTATGAGTGCTGGTGTCGTTGTTAACAGCTTGTTTTTCCGCTGCCCCTAGTGGCTAAAACAGTCAGTGCAGCCTTTTGGCATCAAGTCTGTAACAGAGCTGAGATGTAGGTTCATTTTCATGTTGACCTCTGTACGATTGAGCCGGTGTAGTCGCCCCCTGCTGGCCAGTAGTAGTAGTAGTAGTAGTAGTAGTAGTAGAAGAACACTTCTGTATTGGCTTAAATTTTCCAGCCAAGTAGGTTTTGTCCACTTCTTATATACAACCTGGTTTCATTTGATTCTCTTCTTAACCCTTTTTCTTTATTCTCCAGACATCTATGTGTGCATGATCTCCTATGCACACAATGTGGCCGCCCAGGGGAAGTACATCGCCATTGTCAGCACCACAGTGGAGACCAGCGAGCCCGAGGCTGAGATCGAGCCGGCCCTTGAGCTGCTGGAGCCCATCGACCAAAAGTCAGCATTTTTAACATGTCGTGCACTTTAGCGTCACGTACATTGTAAAACGTTTCATAATGACGACATGATAAGAGTATTGAGGTAACTGGGTTGTTTTTTCCCCCGACAGGTTTGTGGCTATTAGCGACCTTTATGAGCCCACGGATGATGGCACTGAGAGCCAGGTAAGACATGTTTCCCAAACAACCCTGCAGCTGCTCAAAGCCATTAGCATTACATTTACGCTGGGTTTATGGCTAGCATGCTAGTCTATTTTGATGGCATGATCGGTCAGTCGGTTATCCACTTGGGTCAAATGATAATGTGGAAATATCTCGACAACTATTTTATGAATTTCCTTGAAAATGTCATAGAAACACTTTTGTTTTCCAGAGCATGAAGTGAATGAACTCTTGTGACCCCTGAGTCTTTTTCCTGGAGGTTTATATCTTATAAATTAAAATGGCTTGACATTGATTGGACTGATTGCAATGAAATTTGCTATCCATATTTAAGGTTAACAAAGGGATCAGTAGACACAATTACAGGAACTAAAATGATGGAAGCGTCCTCTTAAAACAAGAAATTAAAAAAAGCTAAGAAGAAGTTAGGGCTGACCCCATGTAGCCTAGTACTCGACAGTTCGTCCCATAGAGCCTCAGTGGACTTCCTGTCTCATAGTCGAGCACAGGGATGAATCCATTCCAGCTCTATGGGGGTGTTTAATGTCTAATTTTACAAAGATTTGTCTGTTTTCTCCCCAAAAAAACCTCATGACTCCTAGCCTCTCTTGGTATAAATATCACCTTATGAATACTTTTAATGCAGCTCTGAAAACGACTCGTACTTTAAATAAATCTCCAGAAGCTTGATGAGAGTTTTTAAACCAATAGACTTTCTCTTAACCTTACAAAGTACCTGGTTAGCTTTGTGGAACGGGCGCAGTTAAGTCATGTTCTAGCAATAAAACTAAATACTTCTACTGCTATAACAATACATCAACATGGACTTCTATACCGGTGTAAACGAAACACTTTTCTTGGAGTGGGATAAAACATCGATCCAGCAATACTCCGTCTTCCTGACTTGTTTTGTACAAACGTATGAGCAGGAACGACTTTGACTTTGAGAACATTAAACGTAAATATAACGATGTGTTCGGGGAGGACGAGCAGTTTTGGAGGGGTTTCCTGAGAGAGGGGGCGGGGCCTGGGAGATGAGGGGATAATTGTGAATCAGTGGTGCCAAATGTTGATACAGTCATAAAAAAAAAATAAAAAATGACATCATTGTGAGCAGATATTCCTGCCAATTTAACTCGTTGCATCACTTCCTCACGACTTCTCAGAGTAGCGCTTATGACATGAACGAGGGTGACCAAAGACAAAGACAAAATCGACAGCGGGATAATGGAAGAAGAAGACGGCACACTTTAGCATTAAGGGGCATTTAATATTCCTCAGTAAATTAGATATTGTGATGACTCATTGTAGGATTGTCTTGGAATTATTCAATTATCGTAGAATCGCTGAGTCATGATATTATCGCTTATTTATCATGTTTCATATCGTATCGTGAGTAACACCGTGATTCCCGCCCCTATTCCGGAGTAATATTTGTTAAAGACGGCTCAATATTACTTGCTAGAAGGGAAGGATAAGGCATACTTAGTTTAAAAAAAAAAACCTGATTACATGGTGGTAAACTTTAATAATTAGACTGATGTTGAATCTTAGTCCTGTCATTTTTATGTTTCCCAGGTCTTCGCCTCAAGCTCCTATGATGCCACCACCCACTTTGAGACGACCTGCAACGACATCAAGGACATCTACAAACGTATGACCGGGAGCGACTTTGACTTTGAGAACATGAAACGCAAACAGAACGACGTGTTTGGGGAGGACGAGCAGTGAGCAGGTTGTTAAAAAAAAAAAAAAGGGGTTTCCTGAGAGAAGGGCGGGGGCCGGGGAGAGGAGGCGGGGCTTAAAAGGGGTTAAAAAAAAAAGAAGAGATGGCAGAGCCCGTGTTAGAAAGCCGGGGCTGTCTGAGCAGCTCTTTCAAACAAAAACAAAAAAAACAACGGGTTGGGCGTGGCGTTTGTGTCGGAGAGGGTTTGTGTCCTGGGCTCTGCCTCCTTTCTCCTTACGTCCCTCTCTCTCTCGATTCAAACACATAAAAGCTCACAAACACACACATAACACTCTGTTCAAATACTCACACTCCTTATCTCTGTCACCGAAAAGCAGGGTTGATACGGTCTTTCATTCCATCGTAGAATTTTACAGTATAATCATGTCTTAACTGTTCTCATTAGAGGTGAATTTATTACTTGTTGTCGGCGGCGATTTCCTCGAAAAACATTCTTCATTCTTTCTGTAACGTCTCTCTCCTCATATCAGAGGTCGGCCGGATGAAATGAAAGATTGATTGGCGTCGAGAGGGTTTGAAGTGCGAGCTCTGACATGAGAGATATCTGTAATGGCTTTAGTGTAGAATCCTCTGGAAGGGTCACCTCCAGTGTACATGCATGCCTCTTTTACACACAGTAGTATTTGTACATAGACTCTTAACGACACTGCGGTATGAAGGCTGGACCATTCCACGCATCGCTCCTGTCAACCCTGCTTTCACTTTTCTCTTACTTGGTCTTTTACATGTGTTACTTCAACAAAAAAAGAAAAAAAAAAAGAAAAAAGACATCGCTCCTTTTGGCAAAAATCTGTTGGTCGGGCAAATTAAAAAAAATCAAAAATGTGATGAATAATTACATATAAATGGGCTGTTCTGTCAACTGATAGTGCTCACTTTGCAATGCTGTTGTGTTCCCTGTGCTAGCAGGCAAGCTAACCAGTGGCTAATAACCGTCACCCAAACCCCCCCCCCCAAAAAAAGCAGTTCCTTTGTTTCTCTCTGTTGTTTTAATGTCCGTTTTTGAATTTGAATAGTTTACGTTCTAACATTTTAAATTATTGAAGAGTTTTATTTCTATATATTTGGTGCACATTTCGCTGGCTGAAGTTATGAAGTTTACAGAGCTGAGGTTGAAACTGTGGTCTTCAAGTTTTAAAAAAAAGAAAAAAGGGAAAGACCGGCGCTAAAAGAGAGCATGGAGAGGATGTTGTTGTTTTTTTAAGTCGGAGGCTGAGTATTCTGGAAGATTTGGAAGAAGTGATGAATTTTAAGAAAACTGTGATTACGGCGATTTCCGCTTGTTAAGATGCGAGGAAGTGTTGCACGAGGAATCAGGAATGTATGCGGGGGGGGGGAATGTTTTTGGATTCGGATGATCAGAAAGTGAAGAGTGAAGACTGAAATTTCAGCTGATAGTGGACGCACCAGATCGTGTCTTGGTTGTTTCAACCCCCTTTGTGTATGTCGTTTAGATAAGTCATTCCCCTTAGGGACTCTCGCTCCTATGAGAACTTGTAGAAGTTAAAAAAAAACCTGTAACTTTTGAAAGACTTTGTAGCATTAGAGGAAGAGATGAAGCCACAGTTGAAGAAGCCGACCCATGAGAATGAACCAAGATCCTTTTATTTGGTTTGAGCCTTAATTTGGGGTCTTAATCAGAAGTTCAATTTTGACTGCTTACAGATAAGGGGCAGGTCAGGTGTGTGCCAAAAATAGTTACTGTATGCTGTTAATGGCAAAAACAAAAAAAGGAGATGTGTGCTGGGCTGCAGATGTGACTGAATACTTTAGCAGGGATGTTGTGTCTACCCTCTGAGGCGGCTCCTCACGTCTCTGCACTGCACACTCGCTCCAACAGCCAGATTGATCTGTGGCTCGTTTCACATCAACAACTAACTGATGATTAGACGCTCTGATCGTTTGGAAGCAGATCCATTTCACTTTATCCACAAAGACAAATCCCTGAAGCGAAGTCATCCTGTGTGTTAGGGGTGTTTATGTGTCTTTTATTGTTATGTTCTTATTTATTTAAATTTCACTGCCGTGTCGTGGAAAGGTTTATGTCAAACGCTGAATATGCTACGCTTTATGTTCTGATGATAAAACACGTTTAAAAAAAGTGATGCACACCGGGGTTTATTTGTTTTTCTTAGTTTTGTTTTTTGCTGTGTCATCATTTTGTTCATCTTCTGTGATCATACCGGTGCTGCATCACCGTTTAATATGATTATTAGCATTCCTAAGAAACAGGTTTTGATGGAAGGAAAGCAGCATTAGCAGCCAGTCGGACACCGAGCTGAAAAATCTGAATCTCGACAGCTGTGTACTCACTCCAGTTTTCACACTGTGCGTCTACAACATTGTGTGTGTGCTCCTCATTCTGGAAACGTGATATCTGATCAAAAACTGGAATACCGTTTACTCTTTGAACATAGGCCCTCCTCCCCCCTGCCCCTTCTCAGCATCAGATACTGTACGCTCTTTTCTTTTTTATTTATTGAAAACAAAAGCCTCATGTGTGGTCGTACTGTTTTAATTTTCCATCCAGTTCGGGCCTTTTGGAAACCACTATTATTGACAATATCCCTTGAATTTGACAAAAAGAAATAGGCTGAGTAGTAGAAAACTTACTGTCCTTGTTTGATCACTAGTATGTGAACAATGCCTAATGTCTTGTGTAACAAATAAAATGAATTAAACTATGAATGAAATGATAGAAAAATAAAAAGCACATGGCAAACCTGGAAGGATTCGACTTTTTGTTTTTCCTTTTTTTCGACTATATCCAGGCGAGTGACCTTTTGTTGAAAGATATCTATACATACGTACAATAATATTTTATATACACGTGTACTAAAAAAAATACAACTTTCAGAATGATACAGGTTGAATAATTATATGTGACTCTGGAGTAGAAGAATCTGGCTTTTCCTAAGAGTCAGTCCAGGATGAAAAAATAAGAAAAGTCTGATAAATATCGCTGAAGTTTGAGAGTGTGCGTTTTTTTTTCTACTGCAGAACAAACAGACATTTGTGGTTGCCATGCAACCAGCAGAACACTGCTTCTGTGTTACACATAAAAAAAAACACAGAGCTTGAATTCAATTCAGATTGAATGATGTAGAACAGCAGCATCATTCAGTCTGTCACTATAACTTTTAAAATAAATGTCCTCTTTAATCCTTTAAATGCAGCTCTGTCTCTGATGCGTCCTCTTTGGTAACCACACCTCTGTTTCCTCCTGACAGAATATAATAAAGCAGAAAGTCATTGAGAGCCACTGTTTGGTCATCCTTTGTCCATTAGAAGCCGCCATGTTAACCGCTGCGACCTGAGCCGTGCAGCTCACATGCAGCCGGGCGGCGCTGCCCCAGCTAGAGTTACACATGATCCACCACGTAGCTCTCGTATGGATGACCCAGGAGTCTCTCCACCTCTCCTTTGGGAACAACCCAACACCTGCCCGTGTGGCGTTTACGCACCGAGTCTTTCAGCGACTTGTCCTGCAAAGTGACCGCCGTGTGCTCGGATCCCCACCTCAGGATCCCTCGGGCTAATGTGGCAGCTTTGTGAGCGGCTCCGTCCTGGTGATCCGTCACTGCAGTTACACTGATGTCAGCGTGCTGAAACTGGCCTGTGTGTGCAGACAGAGGACGACAGTTTACAACACAGGGGTACTTATCAGCAGAATGTGTCCTGAATGCTTTTTACTTTACACATTGTTGAAACCAAGAGGTCACCAGGGCCCGTCGTAATCCTGCAGGCGATAGAAAAACTAAATAGAAAGCATTACTTTGTTCTTCTTTTCCTTCACATTTATTTAGTGACCTTTTGGAGGGGGTCAAACCTCAGATTGGGAAACAACGTTCTACATGTCACTAAAACAAACAGCTGTATTTATACTGTAGATTTAACCGTTTGTTAAGCGGTCAAAACAGCTTCACCTCAACCAATTATTATATAAAATGATTAATAAAAAGTTTCCATTGATCATCAGTAGTAATTCAGGAATCCAGTCATTTCATAAAAAACTACATATAAACTATACGTAGGCCACATGTGCTGAAAAAGTGCAGAAACACAAAAGGTTTTAGAGTCCACATGTTTGTTAATGTATTCAAATGAAGACATTAATCAATGTGTGAAAATGTGCTTATATATGAACACAAACAATGTAAGAGATTCAAAAGGGACAGGGCAAAAGACTGAGTTTGAACTTACAAAAATCGTGCAGAAAATTCCAAAAATGTGTGCAAAAAAAGATCAGAATTCAGGAAAAGGAACGTTTGGTGCTAAAGATTTTCTAGGGGAGACCCCCATTTAATGGTGCCAACAATGAACTGGTAGATATTTAACTATTTCATGGTATTAACTACAGACTACAGCATTAACAAACAGGTTGTTGATTTAAAAGAAATAACTTGTCGGCCCAGTATTTCTGCATTTAAACATTTAAAGTGTTTCTACTTAAGTGTTTCTACTTTTTGGTGCGTCTTCTGCATGCCTGTGGTTGGGGGTAGGTGGGTGGGAGAGGGGGCGGGGAGTGGGCATTTTTTTTTAAGCCTGTGCCCATCACAGTGCACGACACTCTAAGGTAAATAGTTGTAATAGTAATACATATTTAGCCGTATGTATATTTCTGCAGAAACTTTAGCTTCTTTAAGTAGCATTATTTCTGTAAATTATCTCATCAAATCTTGAATTTCCCTCAGGATCCATAAAGTTTCTTTCTACCTACCTACCTGTCTGTCTGTCTCTCCATCAGTCTAAAGCAGGAAGTTAAATAAAGGACTATGATGAATAAAGGTAAACAAAGTTTCAACGAGATCTGATGGTTAAGACATACCGAGTAATCCTTGAGTTGAAGCAGACAGCCCCCGCCCGTTTGTGATGTAAAAACCCAGGTGAGCCATCTGCAGGTAGCTGGGGTGTTTGTATTGGTGGAACAGGACCAGGAAGCGCACATCCCTGCCCAGCTCGATCCAGCAGCTCCGGTGGTTGTCCACGGTAACCGTCACGCCCTGCCTCGTCACCGATCCCTGCTGACTGATGGGGAGGATGTCCCGCCCTTCTCCTTCCACCACGACGGCGTCCAGCGAGAGGGTGATCATGATGTCACCTGACCCGCCTGTGGCCGAGGAAACGGTGAGCCGGTCGAAATATGTCCTGGCTCTGTCCTCTGCACCGTGTTTGGAGGGAGCTCCCATCAGGTGTCCATCAACAATGATCCCTTGAGGAGAATGAGGAACACATTTTTATTTTTAATAAAACATCACTTCTTACTTTTAATCAAAGTTTATAAAACATTTTGATGAAACATAATTTAGAGGAAGGAAGTATAACTTAAATCACATTAACAGCTGTCTGGTAAAATATAATAAAGATAATATTTACATGATTTACTTGTTAATATTGTTAATATTTACATGATTTACTTGATTTACTTGATTTATTTAAATGATTTACATAAACGCCTGTGTCTAAGGTGTGTATACTATGGAAGCCCATTTCCGCCAGTTAAAAAAATAAAAATGAAACTAATAAAGTCCTAATTATGAGATAAAAAGTCGAAATCTTATCTCATTATTATGACTTCATTATTTTCATTTTTATTTTTTTAACTGGCAGAAATGGTCTTCCATAGTATACAGAAGAGATTTGAAATGATGAAAATAAGTAAAAGTGGAGTTAAGAAAAGGTCACATCATGAATGCTGATAGAGAGGACAACAATTTTGGGACTTTTGAATAATTGATCACTTTGCTTTAGATGTGTTGGAAACCATCAGCAAATAGATTTTTTTTCTCTTTTTTTTGGGGGGGGGGGGGCTGCCTTTATTGTAGAGACAGGGCAGTGGATAGAGTGGGGAATCAGGGAGAGAGAGAGAGTGGGATTGATGTGCAGGAAAAGATCCACAGGTCAGATTTGAACCCGAGCCGCTGGAGAGTCCAGTTTAGGAACTAGCTGTCTGACTGAAAAATAAATGTACCCAAAAAATATAATCTATTGTTGTTTATTACTCTTAACTAACAGTATTGCTTGTTGTTTACACTTATTTGTGTCTGTGGACATTTACAGTTTTTAAATGTTGTTTTATTTTCCTGAATAAGCACAAAAAAGATCATTTTGAAAAAAGAAGTGCATTCCCCTCGTAGAAAATAATATCACACTCGTGGTTTTGCTGTTGTACTGAATATAATAGACCAATGCTTCCCAAAGTGTGGGCCGTGGCCCCCTGGTGGGCCGTGTGGGTACTGCAGGTGGGCCGTGAAAAGCCCTCCACCAAGTATAAAAATAAAATAAATATCACAATAATGATGATTGACCACGAGTCAACCCTTTAAGTGATGAGTAAGACGTGTCATGACTATTCATGGTCATAATGTTTAGTAAACTTTTGTGTCTATCTTGACATAATATCATGTTGTAATGTCCAATAATTAAACCCTTACTGAAAGTTATAGATGTAGTCATAAACATATTTTGATAACGGGCCCCGGAGTAATTTTATACTTCAAAGCGGGCCACGGCAGTCTTAAGTTTGGGAAAGGCTGTAATAGACCATCACACAACTCCCTCTGATCTTAAGAGTCAGTTTCAACATTTAACTGAAATGAGAGATGTTATTAATTAGCATACCTCTCTCCGGGTCCTCCAACAGTCTGAGCACATCGTCAGCGCTGCCGTCTACTGTGAAGCAAAGGTTCTGATGCAGCTTGGGCAGCTGGACCACGAAATGAGGATCTCCATCGACTGCAGCGAACAACAACGAGCATTAAAACAGGAACACTGTAGACAAGATTCAGATGATTGTGATGGGGTTATTAAAAAACAAACCAGATGAGGAGAAGACCCGCACAGTACTCAAACTGGAGGAGGAGGATTCTGAAAAAGTATTTGAATATTGGATAGAACCCGTCTTTTTATTTTTTTTTTTTCACACATTCACAGAGATTTGTACATATTGTTCATTTGTGGTTAACAATAGAGTGATTCCTCTTTTCACATTTTTGTAAGTTTATACAAAAACAAAATAAATCAAATAGAAAAAAAAAAGATAATAAAAATAAAACAGAACAAATCAAATAAAAAACAAATTGTCGAACCCGTCTTTTTAAAGAACTATAAACCAATGACAGCAACTCTACAGTATGCTAAGACATGTAGCTGTAAATAAAACTCGCCAAATACTTACCAAACGATCCGGTGTCTGCAGTATCATCCCCTAAAAATAAACATTACAAAAAAACACATTTAAGTCAGACATCTCACATTTGTAACGTTTTTTTATGATTTCTTTTTGGGCTTTTTGTGCCTTTATTGGAGAGATAGGACAGACGAAAGAGTTGGAAATCAGATAGAGAGAGAGAGTGGGGAATGACATGCAGGGAATGTGCCACAGGTTGGATTTGAACCCTGGCCGCCTGCTTGTAGGACCACAGCCTCTGTACCACTGAGCCACCAGCACCCCTGTATCGTTCTAGATATTTATTGCAGTGGAGCATAGTTTGTGTTTGGCGTCTTGGAGCAGACCTCATCACTCCTCACAGTTTTAAATTACAAGCAGACATTTGAGGAGTGATGGGATGATGTCTTAAACCCCCCAGTCAGAGCCAAACAGGTGGATGCTGAGGTGGTGGTGGGACTGAGTAAGAGTGCAGTACTGGTGCAGGTCAGAGCCGATGATAGAGCAGAGAGAGAGAGACTGGAAATCTTGCAGCTTAAATAGGCAGCTAAATGAAAGGAGGTGTTGTCAGGTGATTGTTTAGAATGAGGCATAGCAAGTGTGAAATCAGTGCAGCTCAGGTTGACTGCCTGAACTAGCTCGCAGGCATCGCCTCATTTGTCATGAAACTTTTATAACCTGAAAAACAGCAACAGATTTCTAAAATGAGCATTTTGTACTTACAGGAATCATAGTTGAGATCGTAGTCGTAGTCATAGGTTGCATCATAGTCTGGGAAATGAAACAGAAAGCTATAAAAACAGTACTTCAGAAGAATTAAGATTTTACAGGGGAGTCTGTGTATGAAACACTCAAAGTGAAACTCACCTTTCACAAGGTCAAAATCTAAAAAAAAGAGGATATCATAACAAAGATTTAGAACATGTTGTGTTGCAGTCATGGAGCTGATGACATGTTGTATAAATAGCAAACTTCTGTCAGAGATCCAAGTTACGACTGAATCAACGTAAGCCAAATTAAAAAGGCAATAAAATATTTTATAAAGTCATCTGTGATAGGAAGAGGAAATTCACCTTTTCTCTGAATGAAAGTGGAGACATCTAGTGGAGAGATGAGGAACAGTCAGTTAGAAACAAAAACACTGAAGTGTGCGACATTAAAGTGAAGCCTGTGACTTTACAGGGAACAAGCAGCTACAATAAGAACAATATACAGAAGTTAACAGCAGCCATAACAAAGTATACCAGAGAGTTGTTATCTGTTTCTGTAATTTATGACACAAATGTATTGAAACAAACAGTGCAATAATCTTGAAAATGTGTGTATATATTCCATCTGACTCTTATTTGTGTAAATATTTCTTGTACCTATTATTGACATCTTACTTACATTCCTATTCGCTTTGATTAATATTTTTATTAATATATTTCTATATTGTATATTTTGGAGCAACTGTGACATCCGAATTTCCCTCTGGGATTAATAAAGTATTTATGATTCTGATGTTGTGGAAACATTAGAACATGTGCTATGTGGAAATTTGTGCATTGCATGTTGTTTGTGAAAAGTGTGCAGTACTGGAGTCCAAGACAAATGATCCTGTGTGGACAATAAAGTGCAATGTGTATCCTCTCACCTAAAGCCGTAGGTGTTGTTTTTTTGTCATTGTTTTTATTTATTGGTACTATTTACTATTTACTGTATTATTTAAGTTGTTGCTAGTTCTGCTTTATTTCCCTGTTAATTGTTTAGCACCAATACACCAAGTCAAATTCCTTGTATGTGTAAATGTACTTGGCAATAAACCGGATTCTGATTCTGATTCTACGACATCAATATGTGTGCAGCACTTGAGTCAAAGTAAACTGTTTTCCCCACAGGGACAACAATGTGTATCATATCTATTCCTCTCGTATCATGTTGCATTGTATTGTATCGTGCTGTGTCAGGTTGCATTGTGTCATGTTGTATCACCTGTTTGACAGTATTGCAACATATTGTGTTGGGTTGTTGATTGTTGTCATTGTTTTTATTTATTAGTACTACTTTGGAAGCAGCTGAAGGTGTGCAGCATGTAAACAATGAAGTGTAACATATCAAATCTTATCTTAAGTTATAGTCTTGTATGGTGTGCTATGGTGTTTTTTTATTCTATTTAACCAGGCAGGTCATTCAGAAAAGATTCTTAAGTATAGTATGATATGGTGTTGTGTCTTGTCATATGATTCCCCTACCTAAGAGCCCTGCGGCCTCCCACGGTCTCGGTCCGTCTGTGACACCGGGCATGGGGGCGAAGGTGGCCGACACAAACGTGGCAATACTCAAATCTGTTTCCAAGTTTGTGTTGTTGTCGTCCACAGCTGCGGGTGGCGCTGTTGTTGTGACAGATGAGGCGGGCGGAGTCAACAACTCGGGCGGGACGGTGGTGACTTCAGGCAGAGGAACGACTGGAGAAGACGTGGTGCTAGTGTGTGTTTCTATGGAGGGCACGGTCGCTTTGACAGGACTGGGCTGTGAGGTAAGGGGTTTCCCAGTCGGGTAGCAGGGTCAGTTCTCACTGGGCTGGTTGTGAGTGTCACCATCGGGGTGGTTATTGGGGGAGAGGTTGTTTTCAAGGGACTCGGATGGGGGGTGGAGACTTTACCAGGTGCAGGGGGCGGGGCTGTTTTGAGCGCGTTGATCAGGGAGGTGGATATCTTTCCTGCAGAAGGAGGCGGAGAAGGAGGAGGAGGAGGAGGAGAGGCAGATATGGATTCATTTTGGGAAGGTGATGTCTTTTTACCCAAGAATGGAGCTGGGGCGGTTTTAACGGTGCTGGGACTTGAGGTCGTGGTGGTTTTCCTGGACGCTGGAGTCGCTGTTTTTGCCGTAGAAGTTGAGATTTTTTTAGTTGGAGGCGGCTGAGGAGGGTGTGGCTTTGTTTTGATTGGCTTGCCAGACGAGACGGGCTTCTTTGCAGAACCGGTCCCCGAGGATTTGGCTTCAGTTTTGGCGGGAGCAGCAGTTGTCGTCGTGGTCGTGGTTGTAGCGGCAGCCGTGGCGGGTTTCGCTGTGGTCGGACTTCGAGCCGCTTCGTCCTCATCGGGCTGAATGACGACTAAAGAAGTGACCGGTGTTACAAAGTTATATTTGAGGGACAGGTTGGTCGCTTTGTCCGCCAGTAACCTTTGCGTCGCGGGGTCGGTGGCGTTCAGTTTGGCGAGTAGCAGCTCTTTGATGGTGAAATACGCCCAGAGGCGGTGCACGAAGCTGGAGATTCCTTCCGAGCCTCCTGAACACTTGAGAGAATCCGCGCTCTCGTTCCCTTCGGCGTTCAAAATCAAAACATCGTTCTCCAGGTTTACACGTTTCTTCAAATCGGTGGCGGACATGGAGACTTTTAAATCCTTGACCCCCGGTTTGACCTTCCCGGCGACCACCAGCTCAGAGCCTTGGAAGTAGTTTGGGAACAAGGAGCGTGTGATGTCGAACGCCTGATCGTCCAGGTACGTGAGCTGGACGTCCGACAGCAAAGGGCTGGCCACTTCGTCGTAGAAGCCCTTCAGCTGCAGGGCGGCGTCCGCGTCCTCGTACACCATCCGAGCCACGCCGCGATTATCCAGCGCCAGGCGCTTCAGGAGGAGGTAGTCAGCGTCGTCCCCGAAGGCGAGGCCGAACAGAGAGGCCGAGCCCAGGGCCTTCTTGGCGTTGCTCAGGATGGCGTCGCCGGCCGTCACCCCGATGGTCGCCTCGCCGTCGGTGAGGAAAATCACCAGAGGGACGCGGCGGGACGAGAGGCGGTCGGAGGTGGATTGAGGGTTGACGAGCTGGGCGGCGGAGAGCAACGCCGCGTTGATGTTCGTCCCTGTTGCGAAAGAGAGGAACAGTCAGCGTTGGAGGAGAACGAACAAACGTAAAGAGGACGTTAGAAGATGAACTCACATCCTTCTGCAATAATCCTCTTCACAAAGTCTTTGGCGTCTCGCACATTCTGACGCGTCGCCCGCACTGTGCGTCCTTTCTTCCAGGTGTGAACCTTGTCGGAGAAAGTGATGATATTGAAGTGGTCTCCCTCTCTGAGGTCGGCCAAGATGGTGCCCATGGCCTGCTTGGTCTACTGACAGAAATGAGAAGAATTACTGACGGAGCTCCACACTGAGTATTGTTTTTATAATTTATCAAGTTTCAGTTCCCCGGAGATGCCGTTTAACCACAGGGACTTTATGAGGTTTGTCCACTTTACCTGTTTAATCTTGGTGCCTATCATTGAGCCACTGACATCAATGACAAATATTACATCTTTGGGAACCACAGGAAGCCCTCTGGGTGCAAAGTAATGCACAAAGTAGCCGTCATACACCTGAGAGAGAAGTGAAAAACACATCTTAAAGAGGGGAGGAGACAACCTTTACTGGTGACTAAAACACATATTTGTATAATTATAAAGATATTATTATTATTATAATAATAATAATAATAATAATAATAATACATTTTATTTATAAGCGCTTTTTAAAAACTCAAAGACACTGTACAATAGTTAAAAAACAGAAAGAACAGCACAGTAAGGACAGACTAACAGACATTGCACACAAATCATAAAGATAACAACAATAAAAGGTAAAACTACAGAAAACAGGAAATACATCACAATCCTACATGAAAAGCTTTTATCGATGAGATTCTCCTGACCTGGACTTCCCCCATGAGGTCTCTGAGGTCCACGTCATAGTGAACGATGAAGTCTACATTCAGACCTTTGGAGGAGACGCCGTTCTGCTGCTGTAGAGTGGGACTGTAGCGAACTCGAGCGCAGCCACCGCTACGTTCGACCTGAGTGGATGCAGGGGCGACTGCATCACCTGCGGGGGGAGCGACGCATGGATACACTCATGTCATACTATCAAAATGATTAAAGTCATTTCATACAGCATTTAAATTCAAGAAATCATTCCGGGTGATACATTTATTTGTGTTCTGGAAGTTAGTTAGATGATATATTATATATCTGTATAACAGAGCTATGAGTACAAAGCCTGTTTCAAGTCTTTATGCCAGATTCCGATATTTACAGTACAGACATGAGAATGTTGCCAGTCTTTATATATAACGCTCATGAAAAAAGTGAAAACTCTCATTTCCCCAGATGTTTTAACTATTCTCTTAAACGCTGATGTAAAATTTATATTCAGTTATTTTTGACCCAGAAAGTCTCTCAGGGTCCTTGAAAGCTTTTACACCTGTACATCATGATGGTTCATTAAGGTAGTGTACCTTTTGTTACAATGGGCTTTTTACTTCTTTAAAGTCTTTATATCTGATTTTTCACACTTAAATATAATATAAATCAAGTATATCCTCTGAAAATAACTCTGTGAGTCATGACTGTCTACAATGGGTGTAACACCCGAGTGATCAAAAAATCACATATAAAGTCTTTAAAAGCATATTTTAATAAATTGACATTTCAGATTTATCCTGACAGCTGATGACTCATTTGACCTTGAGCGGTGTTGGAGAGCAGCCGGCTGGTCTTGAGAGGGAGGACTTTGATGAAGCTGATGCTCGTCCTCTCCGTTATACTGACGTCCAGGGTGAGGTTCTGCACGGGCTGACCCGGCCTCAGACCCAAACTGAGCTCGTAGCGGCCGAGTCGACGGGGCAACAACTCCTCATAGGACAGAGAGAAGAACATCCGAGCTCCTGGCGGCACACTCACCGCCACGCGAAACTTCTCGATCTCCCTTTCTCTGGAAGCAAAATGGAAGAAAAGTTAAGGGTTTTGAATCTGATGTCATGGTATTATTGTAAGAAAACTTTGCATTGCATATGAAACAAACTTGTTTATTTTGTCAAAGTTTAAGGAAAAAGCTGACACATTTGTCTGGGACTGACTTGGTAGCAACAAGTCCGGCTGTTTTTCCTTGCTTCTTAGCAGCATCGTAAATTTTCCTGGCGGCGGCTCTTTCCTTCACCTGGGCCACATGCACCTTGCCGTTGGAGGTGCTGATGGTGGAGAGAAAAGGGGGGGGAAGAAGAAAAAGCCCTCTGTGAGACTCACAGTAGCCGGATTATATTTCAGTAACACGCCTCGGCTGCATTGAGTTATGAAGCATGATTGACTTTATTTTGCCTCAGAGTAAATCACAAAGCTGCTTCTTACATGCATCGCACTTTGTTTACCTGTGTGAGGTTCATAACCATGTGAGGGGGGGGGGGGGGGCGTCGTAAACAGGATTGCGTGGAAAAAAAAGTAATTTCCCTCTAAAAACAGCATTAATGAAGGGAGATCTTGCAGGGCTGATGACGCTCACAGGGAGTGCCGCTTGGTGCTACACCCAGCAAAATCCCAACCAAAACCTGAGCTCCAAAGTGTGATCCAAAAATCGCACAGTGCACTTCCTACACATCACCCTCGGCACCCCCTGCATGCGGAGTTAAGTCTTCTGCCAACAGGGCGGAGGTTCACTTATGTAAGGAGGTCGAAATCAAACAGATACCTGAGGTTGTTTGTTCCATCAGCTGTTGGGTTTTTAAATAAGCTGTAGACATTGTTGCCTGGACACTTTTACTATGGACTGTTGGTCTTTTGTCCCTTATCTCATTCACGTCCATCATGGTGATATTTTATGTTTTTTATGTATGTATTATGTATTGTGCTGTTTTTCATGGATGTATTGACTCTATGGACCTCTGTTGCAAACCAAATTGCCCCACGGGGACAATAAAGATTTTCCAAATTCCAAATTCCAAACACTTCTATGCCTGCTGATGTCGCATCACAAGGTGCTAGATTAAGGTAAAGTCCTTTGAACAAACACATATCCAAAGGGGGGAAAACAACATCAAGGGGTTACTAAAATAAACTTTTCAGGCTTGAAGCGGGAACTTGTTTGAGAGACAGAGCAGAGTAGAAAACGAGTGGAAAATGGAGGCGCTTGTATTTATATGAGCGGCTGGATGAAGGTGGGTTAAGGAATGGCTGTACACATGGTGACCTGCGTGCAGAACACAGAGTCTCTTAGTTTCACCGACATAAATGCCAAAAATCTAACACGACACATTTGCCTCAGTTTTTTTTTTCCTTTCTGATGATGTGCAAAAGGCTGAATAGGTTCTGAGAGGTGTGACGAATTATGGTTGTTAAAAAAAAACAGAGTCACACATACTTAAAAAATCTTCATCCACCTCTATGTGAGCATGAATGCATACAGTAGATGTAGGCGTCAACGTGTGTGTGTGTGTGTGTGTGTGTGTGTGTGTGTGTGTGCAGGGTATCTGAATTGGCTGGCTGCCTCTGTAAACTGTGCAGGGGAGAAAAAAGGGGGACTGGGCAAACTCCCGTCATTTTCTCTATTAACTTTTTCTGACTTCCATTCACAAAGCCTGGTATTCATGTGCCCTCAGGTTCCCCCCTCCTCCTGACCTGCTTCCGCTCCCGTGTCCAGCTCCAGGCTCTTTTTTTTTTTTTTTTTCGGCCCCTTGCAATGTTGACTTATTTTTGTTTTGTTTATATTTAGCATTTTTAGAAGGAGAGTGGTTAGAAACCCTCCTCGTAATCAGATTATGCATCTTCCTCCAGACCTTCTAGTTCCTTACATAATTCCTGTGAAGTTTCTTTTCTGGATTCTGCCAGTAACTGAGAACATTACTTTGAGTTGTTTTGAATCTTTAACCTTGTTACAGAAATTATATATCCACAGGCAAGAACAAACCTTTCCCAACCTTTAATACTTCTGAATGAGGATGTACGCACACTATCCATGCTTCACCCCCTAAAGTCCAGTTTGTTTGAATAGTGTGAGTTCTCTGACTCTGACTCTGGCTCAAGAACAGTACACTTCCTTTGCCCTGGCACGCTTAAAAGAGGTGTGCCTTGGCGAGGTACAGTTCATGCAAGAGCACAAACACGCGGTTACACAACGTGGACAGTCCTTCATTATTGAAAGATCCTGAGGTGTTTTGGCTGTTTCTGACTAAAATGACTCAAAATAAGCCACAAAGTCAGTAAATGAATCAATGAATCATTTTTTATTTGTATAGCGTGTATAACAAGTGTTATCTCGATACTCTTACACTTACTTATTGCTATATTACAAAGACCTGGCCTATCCATCATGAGCACTTTAACTGTCATGTTCTCTGCGTTGGTCTCCGATGTGCAGACGGGGACTCCACAGCGTGTCCCTTTAATTTTTATTTATTTATATAAAGTAGAAGAAAGCAAAAGCTTATTAGGATGATAATTCATGTTCAACAACTTCCTGACTTACTAACAATATGCAGTCATTAGGAGGGTATCAGCTATAGACTTATGTAGAATAAGGTACTAATGTACGCTCAGTAATGACTAATAAGTAGCCAGTATGCTACGAATGAGCAACTAGTTAATGGTGAATACTGTGACCCTCATTTACAGTGTTTCCAAATAAATAAATAAGAAGATAAATAGAGAAATAAAGGACGATAATATCAGGATTAAGAACAGATCAATACAATAAGGGCAGTAAAATGAATAAATGAAAATAGAGTTACATTAAAGGTGACATTATATAAAAGCTGGAAAAGTCTGTAACAATACTAACTACACTTGGAGATTTTCCCTTCATGACATCACAAAGGGCAGTAGCCCCTACCCCAGGTGGGTGACACTCCTACAGCTAGGTGTTTGTTCTGCCCTCTGAGTCTGCCTTCTCACCGTAAACAATAGGACATGGAGCGAGAAAGCCCGAGCACACCCGAGCCCTTCCAGAGAGGGGGCGTGGTCAGACACAGCTCATTTACATATTTAAAGGTACAGACACAGAAACAGCCTGTTCTGAGCAGGGCTGAAATAGAGGGGTTTATAGCATGATCAAATACAGGATCAGAGTGGATTTAGATCAAGACACTTCACAAACATGTTTTGAGGAGCTCTGAGACTTATTTACACTGGTTGAAGAGGAGGAGAATATGTGACCTTTAAGAAGCTGCTGAGTCTGCACTCCTTGTTGTGAGGATTATGATAGAAGCCATTTAATAGAGATAATTGTTTTTTCGTTCCTGACTTTTACAGACATGACAATCAGACATAAATAAAACACTGATAAACAAAAGCAGAGGGAGGTAGCTACATAGAGTCAGTGGTAGTAAAATATGGGCCTTACTTACATGGTGAAGTTGGATATGAAGGCAGAGGAGGGGAGGTCAACCTCGAACGCAGCCTCCTTGGTGATGGGGAGCTGGTTCCATACCGAACTCTGAACTGTGGTCACCGCATAACGGGACACCACTCTGCATCGCACATGGTAGTCCGTCACCTTCAGCTGGAGACATTAAAAAACCATGAAAAAATAATCCATCACATAGGAGCACTGTTTTACTCAAGAGGGGGGAAAAAACATGTGATTGTGATGTGGGTGATGCAAGATTTGTGTGTTTTTTTGTGGGCTAAAAGGGACTGAGGCAACTCCTCATATTATAACTACTGCTTCAAGCCACTTTTAAACAGCGATGTGACCCTAACAATCAAGTCTGAGTGGAAAACACAACCATTGAAAGTCATCCAAACCGACTCCTACGCTGACTAGTAAGGAAAAAAAACAACTATAAACCTTTACCTCAAGTTCCTATAACCTTTACATTATTGTTCCCACACTCTGGTTGCCCCCTGCTGTAGAACGTATCCCAAACATTACAAAGCAGCCCCCTTCATGGCATCTCCGTCGTCCTCCTGTTTACTCGAGGAGGGCCGGCGCCTGCTGAGACCGATCTGGTCAAGCAGAGGCCACATGACTGCAGGACGAGGCGACTGGCATGGAGGAAGAGAGCCACATCAGCCCTCAGGCTCAACGGTATTTTGGAGAGCTGTGGTTTGTTGCTATATAAACTGGTTTACTGTTTGGTTTTTTAGGGGATTTCTTCACAGTTAAAGCTGAAGCAAACAGAGTTGGAAACCACAGTGGAGATATTGAAGATAATCTAAGAAGAGTAAACGATTGTTTCCAGAGCTGTAGAGCCAGCGAAACTTAAACAAAAACAGCAGCTATCGTTTAGTGCAACAGGTAATATTTTTTGAAAAGGCAGTCCATATTTCTGCTATTACATGAAAACACAGATCATAGAATCAAACAGGTTAAAGCTCCTGTGAAGAATTTTAACTAGTTATGAAAAATAATTAATATAAAAATTAATATTGATACCTCTTTATGACCTATATATTTGAGGAGGACAAAATCAACAAAAAGATAAAGAGGTACCGCTTTGTCCACAGGAGGGCGACAAAATCAAGACAAACTCAAAGTTCCTCACAGGAGCTTTAAGAAATTCAGACTGTGTATTTGTTCAATCTTAAAACTAAAGTATTAAGTATTTTTATGCAACACTTTCCAAGACAGTAACTGCACGGGCTTACCGCTGGTCTTGATGGTTTGTTTTGACGTTTTGCTCTCTGGAAAAGAAACAAGTCAACATGTCAATAACGTGCATTATTTTGTTAATTTAAAGACTTTTTCAGTAGTGTCGGTCATACTGCGGAGGCTTTCTGTAAGACTGTTGGACGTGCAGCGCTTCTATTCTCAGCGCACAAACGCTCAGTCAGCACTTTTCTGCCTGTAAAAAAACGTTAAGTAGCCAATTTATGTATTTTTCTATTTATATAACTGTTTCATGAAAGGCATTTTACATAAAACAGTGTCAACCAATTATTTTCCAGTTCTTCTCAGCATCATGCTCTGCTGCATGAGCAATGTTTTCTTCTTCATAATCTCTTTATCGACTGATAACTTGTGTAAACATACACGCAGATATAGGTGCATCTGTGATATCAGCCCGACACCAGCCTGTTGATATATCAGTCGATGTTTGGTTGTTTGGTTCATAAATGTCAAAGTATGAGTGAAAAATCTGGATCGATCTTCCCCTAAAGACGAGATGATGTCCTTGAAAAAATCTTGTTTTATCCAGAACCCAAAGACATTCAGTTCAAATAATCATAAAATATCCACATGTAAGAAGCTTTAGTTGGAAAGCTGACCTTTCCCCCCAATTAACTATTCAAACCAATTACTCTATTGACAACCTATCAACTAATTGTTGCTCTCTGCAGAAGACCATTCATTCATTTACAGTCTGTTCACATTGCCCTTCTTCTTCTATTTGAAGTTATCAACACAATCTGCCTATGTGAGGGCTGGGTCAAGATTTGGTGTCAAAATAGTCTGAATCAAAGCCATTCATGAATGAAGGGGAAGTGGAACTGGAAATAAATGCTTTCACTGTACACAGAGCCACTGAGGGCTGCACGGTTTGGTCTCAAATGTTAATTTAGCACACAAGTCACTGCTGTGTCAATACGTTACCACATATCCGTCTCTTTGCCGGGAATTTCACTGAAACAAGAAACTTTAAGAGTGGAAGCCTTTATGTGGGAGATATACATTTAGGACTTTTACAAATGTTCTGCCACATTTACACGTTGTGTTGGACGTAGAAGGACTGAAATGCTATTTGTATTGACTTTCACACCTTGAAGGTCACAGCAACATTTAGGCAAGTTTATTTAAAGAGCAGATTTCAGCAACAAGGCCATTTAAAGAACTTAAAAGTTTACAAAATAGGTTTGCATTCTTAATATTGTTGCATTAGCTTCTTGCATAAATCCTAAAATAGCAGAGACAACGTGTCAGAAAGTAGCATGGATTGCAGCATCAATGGGACTCAAAAAATGGATTTTGTAGCCTACCTGTAAAAAAGGATTTCCTCCAAGGTTGGCTTCATGATTCCTCGATAATCCTCCTTGCACATAAAAAGGGAAGAAAACTAGAAAGCAGCTGATCTTTAAGTTCATCATGTCCATAAGAAGTCAGCTCTCAGGCTCCAAAGTGAGGTAAATTACCCAGAGGTCTCACGTTCTCAGCAGGTCTGAGGCGGCTCGTGCACACATACCTCACATTTTAACACAACTGACTTCTTCTCGAGGAGGGCTGTTTTCTCCTCTCCTCACGCTGGAAACTTCGCGGACTGCTGCCACTGAGGTGCATGAGAAGTGAGAGGGATTACTGACCCCCTGCTCGACTATTTGAGGGAAACACCCCGCTACCAAAACACCTCCCTCTTCTCTTCACGACTTCTCCTTAGAAAAAATTCTGAGTTTTACTCCTTTAAATTACTCCCAAATGCGAGTTCCCCTTGAGTGCTCTTTCACAAAGACCTCTTATTGACCGACAGGAACTTTATATAGGAACAGTATGTTTGCTAATCTTTTTGCTTCAGTCAACACAGATGCAAAGAAACCACCAGTTTGTTTCTGACATGTACTTTTATTTCTGCACGATGACATGTTGGAAGGATTACTTCATTTACATCTAAATCAAACCTGCCTGACTTTTTACAAAGTTCACAGTCAGGTTCCTTCAATCTACAACAAAGGGGTTTTGTTTGTTTGGGTGCTGTCCATGGTGCTGATATCTACTTTCATAATCAACACATTCTTTAGTACAAAAGTTTAAAAAAAGTGAATGTAGACCAAAGTTACAGTGACAACACTGCTTCGTCTTTTTCTTCTTTGTGCGAAAACAAAGTGCATTTATTTCTACTTCTTTTTTTGTAAACAATCAGACACTTTTCATGGCGTTAAGAAAGGCAAACTAGTCCGATCAGACACAGGGACATTAGACAGGCATGCTAAAAACAGAATGTTCTGTTTTGTACTTTTTCAGTCGCTGCAGAGGGAGGACATGTTCTTCTTTAAATGAAGACGCTGGATCCCCCGGCCTCTGTCTTGACCCTTTATATATTTAGTAGGAGTGTATGTCTAAGTATGTCTGTATGTCTAAGTATCATAAAAACAGTATTTATATGTGTTCAGGAACAGTCTGCAGAGCGTCCTCTGGTTTTCTGTTGATGTCGACGATCTGCAACGACAGAAACACAAAAACCTGAGTCCACTTTAAAAAAAACAAAAAAACATGACTGTCTGCTTCTGCCAAAAACATCCTATGACTAATTCTAAGCAGATGTATAGTGAAGAGTTTATCGTGCTCCAGCACAGCAGATTAATATACTTTGAAGGATATTTAGCGCGCTGACTTTTCTGTCTCTCTTTAGTCTCATTGCGGTTGTGCACCTAAAAAATTGAATTACGGTTGAGTGAGCTCCTTTTTTGCTGTCTTGCATGAAAACCTGACCATTTCTGACTGACGCCGAGATCGACTAGGAAGTGCCACTTCGGGAGTAGCGGTTTGCTGCTGTTATGGCATGGTATATGGAAGTGCTATAGCAATCCTTTCTTCCTTCTTTAATAAGAATAAAGAAAGAGAACAGTCCGACCATCAATACAAAAAGCTACAAAACATTTACAGCACCGCATGACCTCACCAACCAGCTACATTTCTGACCTCCTCGTTCCATATTTCACCTCTCGTCCACTCAGATCATCTAATCTGGGCTCCTTTACCATCCCCCCACTCTAATTATCAAACAAAAGGTGATCGTGCTTTTGCCGTCTTAGCCCTCACTCTCTGGAATCAACTCTCACAAACCATCGGATCTGCAGAATCTTTGGACCGCTTCAAGAAGCATCTAAAAACTCACCTGTGGAGACGAGCCTTCGTGTGACTCCCAAACACTTTCTTGTGCTTAGTTTGTGTTTTCCTGATCCTGACGTTACCCTGCTTGATTTTAGGATTTCATTCCTCTCCTTGTGAATTGTTTGGTTGCTTTAATTTGTGAAGCAGTGTGAATGTTTTAAAAGTACCATATAAAGTTTGACTTACTATATTTTCCTCATTCCTCGTCGTTTAACATTTCACCGATACATACAAATTAGAAAAACATACTGCCTGCCAATAGACACATGTAATGTGCCACACACTAATAGTTGGCAACCCAAAGTGTCTATTATGACAAATATGTGCTGGTGGAAACTTACCCCCGGCCTCTCTCTGTGTGTGTTCACGGCTTCGATATTGAGGAAAAAGGACTCCACTTTACATCCTGTTATTGAGGAGAAAAACCCAGACTGTCAGGAAAAGACTTACACAGATCAGACATGTCATCACTCAAGAAGCTCGCACCACCTACCGTAGGCTATCGGTGTGAGTTTGAGCACCGTGTGGAGGGGGCATCTCAGGTAGGGCAGCTCGTCTTATAGAGAGGGAAATGAGATCGTGAAGAGATGTTTAAGGGCACAAAACGACACAGATGTTAGGGAGTAAAGCGGAGAAAACATGGAGGGAAGAAGCCAGACTCTGCAGCTGATTTCTGTACCTGCAGGTTTGTCGAGGAAGTAGGCGAGCAGGCAGCGCATCACAGCCTGGTGGCAAACTACCAGAACGTTTTCCTGCCTCTCCAGCTCCATGATCACCGGCTCCAGACGATGGACCAGGTCCTCGTAGGACTGAACACAGAAAAAGTTCATCTATCTCTGTCCGTTTGTATCCTGTAGTCTGCTCAACTAAACAACACAGACTTGAGCAGAGTTTCCTATAATGAACAGATCAGGCAAGAGACAATGCAATGGCAGAACTTGAGCTTCAAGTCTCAGGGAACGACTTCCTGTGTGATGTCATCATCACTGTGAGCTTTCCAGCAACATAATCACACTCCCCGACATAACCGCTCATGAAACCACAACTTTGTTATCTCTGGAGTTTGAACAGAGCCAGGCGACATGTTCACCTTTAAAGGGGACAGA